AAATGCACTGCGGTTGTCTATTTGCTGTTTTTTTAGGTTTACAAACGCACTTCCTTTTCATATGTGTCCAACCATCACGTTTCCGTCCCTTATTAGTTGTTAATATTGTGGACGACAAAATATTCTTCGAACTGACAAGACCGCAGAAGTGTCGACAAACTTCCATAACTCACTCTTGATGGCATTGCTTCTCACACTGTTTGCATTGTAAACAGTAGAACTTCACGGGCAGTTTTAAGCTTTTTGACATTTCAAAACTCGCGATACAACAGGAGTGCGTGCCTGCTTTCTAGGATGACGCAGGAGTGGCGCCGATAGCGAGCGAAATGCGAGATAAAAGCCCCAAGGAACACGTTTTCCGAGCGCGCAATGGGAAAACCAAGAAAGCGCGGCCCGTCTGAGCGACCGGAGCTTTGCCCTCTATCCGCTAGGGCTGCGAACGGCGCTGCGCAAAGTTGAGCCTGTGTTCCCTATAGTCGTGTTTACCACTCCAATATCATACGTCGGTGGGATTTGTTCTTTCGGGCTCCTTCTTTATTGTGGCTCGAAGCAATGCCGCTGCTGCATCACTGCGCTCTTAAAAGTCAGCGCATGCAGTAGCGTTGAAGTGACGCTTCAGCCATTGGTTGCCAGCATAGCGCCACGAATGATGACACGCCATCTGAAAACACCGTGTCACTTGCAGAGCCAGCGGGACAGCCTACATTATGAACACGAGGAATGCAAGATGCTTCCCACGGATCTGTATACAACTGAACAAAAATTTACTCGATATGATTTCCGTCGCGAGGCTCTCCCCCATGACCACAAGCCACTTGCGAAGGCTAGGCGATCGGTGAGAGCAGGGAAGGGCTAGAAGAGATGGTGGGGTATGGCTGGATTGGGTGCATCGGCTGGCATTGATAAAATAAAGGAGGCGCTGGGGTGCGCTGCAAGTTTAGAGCTTCTTGCCATTTTTCACGTGATTTTGCAGTTTGTTGCTGTTGCTGAAAGAATGCACAATAAACGCTCGACTATCTCTGTGAAGACACGTTTCACTTTCGTGATAATATGATATGTTGGGTTTAACGTCCCAAAACCACCATATGATTATGAGAGACGCCGTAGTGGAGGGCTCCGGAATTCCGACCACCTGTGGTTCTTTAACGCGCACCCAAATCTGAGCACACGGGCACACAGCATTTGCGCCTTCATCGAAAATGCAGCCGCCGCAGCCGGGATTCGATCGCACGATTTCACTTTCGTGTTATAGCGATTCCAAAAAATAGAGATAAGCCATGTTTCTTTTTTTGCAAGAAAACCAATCAAGAAGAACGACTCCTTTTTGAAAAGATGAAAAATGCCAGAAAGTTGCTGTAACATTTTGCCCTCTGCTCTCAATTGATAGCCGTCGCGAAGACTCGTCTGGTGAAAAGTGTAAAGCACGGGTACTGTTTTTTCGAGAACGCCTTTTTTGTAACTAGTTGGAAACACGATTACTGCTTTCCTAGAGCGCTTTTGTGTTTCAGTAGGTCATCTTGTTTGGTGCTTTTAAAGACGTTTTGAGTCGTTTTCGTCTATAGGCAAGACTGCTGTGGTCAAAATGGTAGCGGTGGTGATACAAACTAAGCTGGAATTGTCATTAACCTAGAACCTCCCGTACTTGGAGCTCAAACGCAATGCAGACAGCTCAAATATAGGCCGGGCATCGATTCTTAGCGAACCTGTAATGAGCAATGCATCCGGGCCAATGTACACAGGGCATATCCACATAAGCATGCAGTCCCCAAATCTGATGCGAGAATGTCGACTGGAAGTATGATAGACGTTTAAGTTTACTATATAAGTGTTCTGTGAGTACAACAGCAGAGCCGCCGCGAGCAACAGAGCGACGAACCGCCGAAGTATGCCGCCGTAGAAATGCAGACAATGCGCCGCGAGTATATCCTAGCAGACGATGCGCCGAGAGTATATCGCAACATTTGACTGCAGCGCCGACCGTCTTTCAGACCCCCCCCCCCCCTTCTCCACTGGCGGAGATACGGAGCTTTGATATTGTTCTAGTCCCGTTGGGCAAAACAGCGAGCCCACCCTCTTTATCGGCTTGCAAAAGCATTAAGTCACTGCTCTTAAAGAACTTTTTCCAATTTAGCTAAGAAGCTCTTACGGTGCGAGTGCAAGTTTTTAGGAGCAATATGTCTCAAACATCCAACACCTACAAGAAGGCAATGGTCCCGATCTTCATCTGCAACCTTGTCGGCCACTTTCCGGTTCACGGTGATTAGTTTATGCACGGAAACACCAGGTTGAATGCCAAATTTAGGGCCTTTCACGCATAAGCTTCTCAGGTATGTGAACTTCACCCAAGACGCCCAGAACGTTCCTACCTTGCGGCTGCTCTTCCGTTTTCTTGCGTTCTTGACACAGCAGCAAATTATCTAAAATGCTCCTTCTCCTACACTCTGTGGGTTGTGCCATTGGCTGCATAAAAGATGCGACCTTCTTCAACGCCAGCCATTCAGTATCGAACTTGAAACATCTAAGACGCAACCATGGCAGTCATAAAACAGTCGGACATGTCAGAGGTCTGATAAAAAAAATTCTGCAAAGTCTTTTCACATGCTTCCACGATGATTTTACAGGACAGAAGAGGACACTTACTACAGGGACGAGACCTTTTCGTGTACAAAATCCATGGACGTCTTGCCTGGCATGTTTCGTGGACAATGTGGCTTAATAGAAGGTCAGTGAAGCAAGGGGAAGTCGAGACACAGAAAGAAAGGCCCACTGTATATGAAAGTAACTTTATAAAAACTTCTTTTTGGGCGAGTTGGTTCACTGTATATAGAGCAAGGGAGTAAAGCGCGAAAACACACATACAAGAGTGTTTTCACATAGGCGCAGACTTGCAAGTCATTTTTAACGGCACAGTAAAAACACATTATACATTTCTACGTTTCTTCCTCAAACTTTGCTGTCACCCCTTTACACTATACGTAATTTCAGCGCAAACCACGCCTGCAGTGTTTAGAAGTTTTGAGACTGTAGTAACACCATTACGCGCCCCGCCGCGGTGGTGTAGTGGCTAAGGCACTCGGCTGCTGACCCGCAGGTTGCAGGATTGAATCCCGGCTGCGGCGGCTGCATTTTCGATGGAGGCGAAGATGATTTAGGTCCGTGTGCTCAGATTTGGGTGCAGGTTAAAAGAACTCCAGGTGGTTGAAATTTCAGAAGCCTTCCACTACGGTGCCTCTCATAATTATTTGGTGGTTTTGGGACGTTAAACCTCACATATCAATCTTAAAATCAAACCGCTTTGTTAATGTTACGCGCACTTCGCGAACACAAAAGGTTATTCTGGAACCTACATGGCCGCTAGCGATAACGCTACAATATCGGACGGCACGTGTATAAACCACTCAAAGCGTGAAGCTGTCTCCTGCAGCAGGGTAAGTTCACACAGAGTGAAGACATTGCAGATTTGGAAAAGAAAGATTTGTATACATTTTTATTGGCACAGTACTCAGATAAATAATTCAGTTTATTCCTCGTCGTCCTGATCCATGGCTTGGAATGCATGTAACCTAGAATTGTTGTTGAGGTGTGAATTATGTTCAAAACGTTTTACGCGCGTTTAAGTTAAAGAATCAACAGCAAATCGGGACATAAAAGAAAACTGCAGATGTTAGCATAACATTTTTATCATTATGTGCCTCTGTTCGTGCTTACGCCAGTTGAACCTTGTGTAACTGCGTTCTACAGGGAGAAAAAAATACAAGTATGTACATCAGCCAGCGTACGCGACACATACATGTGTGTGTGTGTGTGTGTGTGTGTGTGTGTGTGTGTGTGTGTGTGTGTGTGTGTGTGTGTGTGTGTGTGTGTGTGTGTGTGCGTGTGTGTGTGCGTGTGTGTGTGTGTGTGTGTGTGTGATATAATACCGCGTGCTTCCAGTCGGCGCACATTTATTTACAAAAAGTGGTGGTCTGTGTGGTAATTCCTGCTTTACATCTTTCTGTAGGCAGATGGATGTTAACTGTAGGGAGGTGGTATCTTCTCCTGTGTCCGTGTTTGCATGCCCATTAGTGTTTATTGCAAATTTTTAGTACGCACCGCAAGCATATCGGTTGAAAAAGTTATGGAAATGTCAATAATATTCTTTAGCTCATTAGCCACACCTTATAGTAACTCCTAGCCAATAATGACCTTATGAATGTACACAACATATACGTCTGCCCTATGTGAGTGTTCCTGTCAATTTAAAATTTGATTAATGCCATTAGCTTTTAAATGTAGTCTGCATTGGATAATAAGAAAACTTTATAAATATATCTGTCTTCAGAAGATGGCGAAGGCTCTGGTTACAATGAAATCACCAAACAAGCGAAAATAGAAAGCACACGTTACGCTCGTAGCGACGGGGTGCATTAGGCGCGAAAGACCAGTAGGGAAAATAAATAATCACGTTTTTTTTTCTTGTGAGATTCCCTGTATGCGTTGTTTCACACGCTTTTCGCTCATTGACATTTTGGCTTTGATGCTTGATAAACACACCTGCAGACATGGCACGCTAGCTGATGCTCTATGACAAAACACCGCTTAATCGTGAAGATATGGAGAAAGTTATCATCAAACGCATCAGCTGATGTCTGGTGAGTGTCCTCTTCGAAGATCACTTGTTGGAGAAGCTCAAGGGACAAACTAGGGCTTCGAAGCAGGCTGCATAACGGCTGGCACACACTGTGGGAAATCACTCAGCCTCGAGCGATGGAACGACGCTGAGTAAATTTCCATCGGTATAGGTCCCCTCGTCTTTCCTATAAATTTGACGACGATCAGCGTCGCAGTGTGAAGGCACGAACAAACGTCCAACTCGCATATATATATATATATATATATATATATATATATATATATATATATATATATATATATATATATATATATATATATATATATATATATATATATATATATATATATATATATATATATATATATATATATATATATGTGATCGCACACAAAGCACCGGAATTATGCACACTACTCGACTGATCCAGCGCACGCACTCTCACACACAGATCCACACACGAAGGAGAGATGAAGCATCTGCGTCTGGTGGACTCCATCAGCGGATCCCACTGCATCGGAGGGATGATAGCGTCATCGGCGGCCGTAAGAATAAATATCGTCCTATAACAGCTCGGCCACTAGAACAGGCTCGTCGTTTTTGTGAGAGGAGCTCGCTTCTTGAAAGAGCCTTCCTTCCGTCGTAGGCGTGTTCTTGCCCGTGGGTCTGAATGTGCTGAACGGAGTGCTGTCGCCGGTGGGAGGACGGGTGTCGCTCGAGTGCAGCTCATGGTACTCGTGACCCTGCGAAGCAATAAAAAAAAACAACGGCGGTTCTCTATGCGGGTTGCATTTGCGCCAAACTGTCTCGGCAATCGAAAATTGTCTTTGCCACAAAATTATTAGACAAGCTCTATCGGCTAAATGTGCATGACACTTATCGTTTTAAAGACGATAGTCTTTCTTGGGGACCTTCGGCAGAAAAATTTTGGTCTGTCTGTCTGTTTGTCTGTACACTTGTCTGTTTGTTCACCCTTAATGGTACCGGGTAATCTGAACGGCACCACCGAAACCCCAAACGGCCAACCCCATCCGCAGCGCCCACCAATGTTGCTCAAGATGCAGCGTTCATACTTGTGTGATTGTCAATTAAAAAGCAATTATTGCGAATATCTGAGGCACCATAACAACACGTATATATTCTGTATGTGCGTCTTTTACTAGAAAATGCATACATAATTAATATTAAGGACCGTAGCGTTTATCAGGCTGCGCTGACCGTGACGCTTGCATGAAAAGGCGGGTGTATCTAACGCTTTGCTAAGACGGCATGGTGGTGACATCTACCCGTCGCATTGCGTTCTACACCTTATTACCTCTGAGACGGACGCGCACGCCCGTCTCAGAGCCGTACGCTTCGTTTTCCAAGAAAACTGCCAGACAGGGCTCATGTCTCACGTGTGACGTGACTGAATGAGCTCGTTCGCCTCCGTTGCACGCTTGAGGCACTCTAACGCAGCGCCTCCAGAATACCCTTCACCATTTTCTTGTGCAGAACATCACATGAGTGTTTTGTTCACTCTCTCCACACGCAAGACTATCGTCTTTCGACGACATTTGCAGATTAACAAGCAGATACGGGGCCAATTTTTTTTTGCAGGCTGCTCGGTTCTTAATATCTCACCCCACCTCAACCTCGAACATTTCTTTAAAAAAAGAAGTTAAACAGAAATATGTGGGATGGCTTGAAAACCCAGTTATAGTGACAGATTTTCTGGAGGTTTAAAACATGAAAACTGCACCCTTTCTTAAAAAAACAAAGAAAAAAAGGATAATTTAGAGCAAAACAATAAAAAAGAAATGGCAATCATAAAATACCAACTGATATTTACGAAATGCTGTATTGTTTTTCTGCGCATTCGTTTGTAAACCAGCTTTCATGAATGGTACTACAGTTGCATTATATGAAACTTGAATTCTGAAGCCATCGCGTAACACTATGATACTAACTTGAGTGAAATTTACTTGCTCATTTTTTGAATGAACAGATTGCACTATTTTTCTCGATCTCTGCTCATAAAACAAACAGGCCGACGAAATTGACGCTACCGCTGGCTGTCAAGTGGTTGCCTGCATATTATGCCAAAATGGGCGAACCACTCTTGAGTTTTTACCAGCCCGCCAGGGCAGTGAGTAAAGAATAAAGCGACAGAGAATTAAATTTTAACGGATTAATGTCAACGCGTTTAGTTTGATAGGTCGCATTTCCGTGGCAGGCTGATACAACATTCGAGAGCGGCAGTAGTGCTGGGAGTCAACGTTGTGCGGTTAAGCCCAATCGGCCCTCGCTAACAATCAACAATGCTAGAATGATCTGACGAAAATGCACACATCGCCTCTGGTAGCGCTTATTGCTCCTAAACGAAATGGTCCTTTGTTTCACCTGTCTGCTTTGTTCTGGTTCGTTAAATCATCACCAACGTCGTTGGACCAAACGATATCCGCAAACCTTGTCTACCCCGGTTTAAAAGCTTGCGCATAATACTAAGCATAGCGAATAGCATTGAAGCGAATGTGTCGTTTCGCCTGGCTGCTTTACCGGTCGGTATCCTTCCCTTTTCTTCTCTATTAAGAACTAAGATAGCTATGAATCAAGAGACAATTGCCAAGGCACTTGCATTATGCTTGGTGCACTCCTTGGCTGACACTAGAAGGTGAGTGCATAAGTAATTATTGCGAGAGCAATTACATGGACACTCTTGGCTGGATTTTGCCGCTGGCATCGACCTGGGCCGTGATTAACCGTATATGCATACGTATTTATATATACAGGGTGCTTCAAGAAATGTGTCCCATAATATAAAGAAATCAGGAAAAGGCGCTATTTTATCGCTGTCTTTACAATTGCTTTTTTTTATAGTGGCAGGCATCTTCAGAATTTTGAAGGTATTATTTGGACGGTAATTGGGAAAGTTAAAATAATTAACTTTTTAGTTAGTGGAGTTAGGTAGTTAAGTTAACGGGAGAATTCAAGTCCTTCATGCGAAAAACTGATTGCCGCTTTGATATTTCGGAAAAGCGGTGTATAGCATAAACGGCGAATCAATACACTTCTCCCCAAGTCTGCCACAAAACCAAAAACATGGGTGAACGGGGAAGAACTGCACCACTGTAACCGCTGTTTTGAACAGTGGCGTCATTGTAGTCGTCTTCTTGTTGCGCTCTTCGGTCCGTTGGTTTCGGTTTCGCCGTAAAATTTAGGAGAGCTTTAATAATTCGTAGTATTATTAGAGGCCGCTTTTCTGAAATCTCAAAGCGGCAATGGGTTTTTGCACCAAGGACTTCACTTAGGCTGTTTGACTTAACTGCCAAACTGCACTAATTAAAAGTTAATTATTTACTTTCTAACTACTGTTCTCAATGATGTACTCAACCTTTTTAAGATACCTGCTGCTATAGTAAAACCAACTGTGAAGACAGCGAGCAAATAGCGTATTTTGCTGATTTTTAAACTATATTGGACGCATTTCTTGAAACACCTTTATCCAAATGGAAACGCAAGAAAAAAAAACCATAAAATGACTCCGGTGAACGGAATAGAACGTCTGTGGGTCTTCACTGGCAGGGGAAGGGTGCGAAACGCCCAAGCAAAAAGGGCGTAGGTGTAAGTGTCACGAAATCCGGTCCCTAAAGAAGTCATTTTACATAACACAAAGTTTGTGTGTTACTGATTTACCAGCACATTCACTACCATAAATGTGCAAATACTGAATAATTGCATATGTAAGATTGTTGAGTGTAGATAGCTAGCAGCCCCGATAATACCAAAATCTGCAATATTACGTGACGAAAATCCGTAGCAACCATAGGCTGGAGCGCCAAAGTAGTATGAATGAATGAATGGATGCTATGAACGTCCCCTTTATAACGGGGCGGTGAATTGTGTGCCAACAGGATCGCAAGAAAAAAAAAAGAAAAGAAAACTTTCTTTTATGTTGAAATAATTCCTCATCTACTTTGAATAAATCGATTTTATTATAACGAACAAAAAAAACATATTTGTGTTCCATATCTCTGCCTCTTCAGGCAGAATGACCTCATTTACCCACTATTTATGTCCTTTATCTCTACTTTTCTGCCACCTGTATTCTAACCGTCTCTCACATACTTCTATCGCTGACGTGTTCAGCTTTCCCTGTTTGTCCCTGAAACCCAAAGCCTATGTACGCTTCTACCCACTAGTATACCTAGGTGGACATCACCGTATTCAATTAGAACATATTCCATCGTTTTCCTAACTCCCCACACGGAATGTAAATTGTTCCTCTTTATTGAATCTCGCTTTATGACTACGCGTTCAAAGGCAGCACGATCTCGCTTCGAACAGTAAAGCGCTTCCCCTTGAATTCTCATAAAACCTCTGCCGCCTTACTTCGTTCTTGCCCTTTTAGTAGTTACTGAGAGCCGGCTTCTTTTCCATCGCTGTCATTCAATAATCCTCTCGGTCTCTTAGACTTTTCGCTTAATGCTCCTTGTTACCATGTCACCCACACTGCTGCCAGCCGTATATTTACTGGGAGCCTCCTAGTTTTTGTCTCCGTTTTGTGTCCACGCTCTTCTTATACAAATACCTCAACACCGTCCCTGCCCACCTACTCTCCTTCATTTTCCTAAGCCTCTCTTCAAATCTCATTTTGCTTTGAGCTTCCCTTACTTCGAACCCTGTCCATCCCATAACCCCTTTACAGCCTCGTTCATCGTCTTCCCGTGAGTGCCCAACGCAAGGCGTCCCACAGTCCTCTGATTTACATTCATTCCTGATTGCACCTCAGACTCCATGCACACCACTGAGTTCCCAAATGTAAGTCCTGGAACCAGTACGCCTTTCCACAGAACTCGAAGCACTTTGTACCTATTGTATTCCCTTAACGCTCTGTGCTTCATGATTGCAGCATTCCTCTTTTCCTTTGCTGCCGATGCTTTTCCTGTGCCTCCGTATATCTATCTCACTTATTTACTCATACTCCAAGGTACTTGTACACGCCTACCCTCGGTATTTCTTGGCCCTGTATTGAGACCGCTTGGTCTTTGTCATCATTGAATACCATGAATGCAATTTTTTGCACTAAATCCTAGTCCTAGAGCCTTGCCTTCCTTTCGGCATATTTTGGGCATTCAATAGGCACATGTACCCTCTTCACACATGTTCATCATCATGAGTGGTGGTCGTCATCATCTGTTGTGGGAACTTGGCTTGCCTGTTTTTTTTGCACTTGGTATGATCGCTTAATCGTGTCTTGGGGGCCCAATAAAGGTCGCCTTCACCGTTGCGTCACAATATATCTGCCAGTCGCTGTATATTGATGATTGATGATTTGTGGGGTTTAACGTCCCAAAACCACCATATGATTATGAGAGACGCCGTAGTGGAGGGCTCCGGAAATTTCGACCACCTGGGGTTCTTTAACGTGCGCCCAAATCTGAGCACACGGGCCTACAACATTTCCGCCTCCATCAGAAATGCAGCCGCCGCAGGCGGGAATCGAACCCGCGACATGCGGATCAGCAGCCGAGTACCTTAGCCACTAGACCACCGCGGCGGGCTGTCGCTGTATATCGTCTTGACTGTCCGCAAATAGGACAATATCGTCTGCATAAAATAGACCTGAAATCTTCTGATCTACCATCGCGTCAGCCTGTTTGTGTGACAGATTAAACCCTACGCTGCTACCTTCAAGTGCTTTTCCATCCTCGCCATAATGAAAAGTTGCAGTGGCACCATCTTGTGGCATTTATGTGAAAACAGGCCACCTGTGCGACGCTGTTCGTGCCACTACATCTCTTCTAGTTCACTGTACTTTTAGTCGCTCCGCATTGCAGCTTCCATAGATACTAGCGCCAGAGTCCCCTCTAGTGTATATTTAGAAAACTCTGTGCTCCCAACGCAAGCTGCAGCCTGCAGCGCCTGCAGAGCGAAGTGTGTGGGGGAAGTCACGTGCTTTTGCATGGGAGTTGTGGGACTAGGGCGCGCCGGCGTCTCGTGTTGTCTGCATCACCACTCGCATGACCACGTTGTGCATAGCCGGCTGGAGTTCTGAGTGTGCATTTTGATGCAGCTGTTGCACTTCAAAAATGATGCAACGTGTCAGCAACCTACAGTGAGAGTCGATATTCAAGGCTGCGAGTTTATTATATATAGCTTGAGATTGAAAGCGGTCGTTTTTGAAGCTCGTGACCACTTCTCCGAAAATTATTGGCACCGCAGTTTCACTGTTTTTCTTTGGCACTGTGCTTGCGTGCCTCAGCGAAGGAAACCTATAATTCCAAGACAAGAACGGTAGCGTGTAAGGATTTTAATGCGAGAGGCGGCAGTGAGCCGCTCCCGCGTATACGGTCACAACTATCAGAAAAAAGTGCGTGGCCCACTGTTCTCACCGTTGCTTGCCAAGTCAAGAATCAGACGTGCCTGACATAGAAGGTGATTTATTGCTTGAATTATCGCTTCCTCTTAACGTTTTGCACGCAGTAACCTCATCTTTGGCCAAGTTTTTTTTTTCAATATGCTCGCAGTCGGCCGACCCGCACGCTGCTGTGAACGTATCGTGACACACATGGCAAATAATGATTCGAAGGCACTTAATCTGACTAAATAGCTAGATAAATTAAATAAAAATTTCCTGTTACAATATGTACTGTACTCCAAACTTACCACATCTGCAGAAGAAAACAGCCTGTCGCGACGTGGTGATTATGCGGCTGATTCGCACCGTCACTCTCTTGAATTCAGCGGATTAAACACGAAGTGCAAAACTGCAAGTGTATTGTAGATTCACAATATGAACCGTAATCAGACTGCGAATGACCCACAGGTGCTATACAAGCGAGTATCACACAATGCCACCTAGATGATTGGTATCGCAGCACGTTTGCTTATATACAGCACAAAAGTTTCGCTTTCTAGCTCGTCTAACAGAGTGGCGGTGGTGCCACCCGGATTGTCCGAATTACCGCGCTCGCGCAGCTCGCCTCCCTCTCGCTGGGCACCTGTTGCGCATGCGCGAGCCGCCGTAGCGTGCCCACTTTTGTGGCGACGACTCATTTACTCTTCCCTGCTTCTGACTCCACAAAATGTGACGTAACGGCCTCTCCTCAGTATAATTCCTCTTCCGTGGTCGTCGCCTCCACGAAGCGCCGCCTCCAAGGAGCGTGGTCTCTCCTACGTGCGCGCTTATCAGACTCGTAATTCGGGAGAGGACGAAGGTGACTTCGCACGCTGCCGCGGCCGCGCGTTTACGAAAGGAGCACGCTGATGACGCACGATGCAGGAAGAATTGTAAAAGTTGTTCGCGCTTGTCCTGCGCATGCTTGCGCGCTCGTTTCGTACGTCTTTCTGTTTGAACAACGCGCCTTAAATACCGAGCTACGACAGTTGTTAGTCCGCGCTCATCCTGTGTACGCTAATTTCGTGCGTTCTTTCTGCTTGAGGTGTGCGCCCCGAGTTTCGAGCTGCTTGCCGTTCTTAACGTGACTTTGCAATTTGTTACTGCTGCTGGAACAATGCACAATAAACGTTTCAACTACCTCTTTAAGGACACTTTTCACTTTCGTGTTATACCGATTCCTATATAGGGGGATCAACCACGTGATTTCTTACTTCCTTGGTGCAGTGGACCGTGGTAGCACCATGGCGGTAGAGGAGCGAGCTAGGTAGCTAGCGAGCGAGTGAGTGAGGGAAAAAATGCAATCGCGCTCACGTCTGAGGCGTCCGGCTCGCGCTGCCTGCGCGACGAGGCCGTGGGCCGGTGGCCCGTGAGGGTGGAGTAGCCGTTGCGCGACTCGGCTCCCACGTGGCTGACACTGTTGCGCCGCAGCGTAGCATACACAGCGCTGCTCGTGTCGTCGTTGAAGTTGAAAGCGGCGATGTCCGCCTCCGTGGTCACCATGTTGTCAGGCGCCACGCTCATGCTCAGCTCCTGCAGGGCGCGCACAGAGTATGTGCGATGTGAGAGCAACGCAAAAGCGGACATACACTGCAAGAACATTAGACTGGCTACTAACCTGTTCTTCATATATCTTGAGTTTTCTACGGGAGCGGGCCAGAGAAGAGAAAAGTAGCAGCACAAATGAAAAATTGTGAGTTCGCCCAAGAGCGATGCAGGTAAATAAGAGAATGCAGAATGCCGGTTCACTACTTCAAAGACAGTCTGCAAGGAACTTACTGTTCGGTCCATAGCGGATTCTCTCTGAAAAACAAAACAAAAAAAGCAGACATCAGAATGGTGAATGCTGTTCTTCGTGTTTTGCTATGTATTTCCACAGGGATAAAATACTCACGTAGTAGTCACCGGGGGACTTTCGTCGTGCCGTACTGCATGTAAAAGAAACGTAAGCCACACAGTTCTTTTGTACCCTTTTTTCTATTTAGGACACGAAAATTGAGCACTCCTTCATACGTACCTAAAGCTTCTTTGGCTTTGTAAGCGTACCTGAAAATAAATGTTTTTTTAAGTGGAAACAAGAGAAACAGTACCATATAGGATATGTCCTACAGCACAAATTGTATACCGCTTGTGCGTATGCTGCTTTTCATACGTTTTCTCACGCTTTCCTGTTGATGATATGGTAGGTTTAGCGTCTCAAAACCACCATTTTATTATGTGAGACTCCTTAGTGGAGCGCTCCGTAATTTTCGACTACCTGGGGTTCTTTAACGTGCACCCACATCTGACCACGTGGGCTTCAGCATCACGCTTCCCTATTAGGCTTCGACAGTGTTTTTACCAAGTAAGTGAAGTATACATTTTATCGCGCCGAATCCCACACTTGCGTTCGTGTGAACAAAGGTTACGAACGGATGCGCTTTCCTCATCTGACAGAGTCATCCGTGAGACATAAATTTTCCCAAGCATATACTCCAGGCGTTGCCTTTTTCGCTTTGAAAGAGACGTTTACAGGGTTGGCCATGCGTGTTAGACGCGTTATATGCAGGGTGTTCCAAGAATTGTGTCTGAAAATCTTAAAACAAATAATGTTATAGCAAGTAGGACATTTGCTCGCTTCGGTATTAATTAATTTGTGCAGCGGCAGACATTAAAATGATTTAAGATATCAAGTGCAAAAGCAAAAGATAGAAATGAAGTTAATTAACTTTTTATTTAGGGGTGACAAAGTGGTCCACTTGAGGAATCGAAACCCTTCATAGGAAAATCACATTGCGGCTTTGTTTTTTCCAAAAAAAGTGGCGCCTTCAAAAAACTATCGCTTTGAACACCTGTGAACGTGACGTTCCGTAACCCGTGTAGAAGAAATCGGCTACATTCTCATGAGAGAACTTTGTACACTGTGTTTCTCACGTGAATTACTTTCCAATAGAAGCATATGGCAAATGAAGTCATGGCATTGTAAACAGACTTCAGCAATTAGTTCAAGTTTTGATTTTACCAAAATGGGAACGAAATGATACAGGCAGCCAAGGAAGGCGTTCAGCTTACCAGGACTTCAAGCAGGTACAACAAACCATCATGGATCACGACGCCGACGAATATCACCACCAGCATCGCAATTAGCACAGCTAAGGCCAAATCAAATTCTTGTTTGCTGATGCCAACTCGAGCAGGCTGCAAAGCGGAGAAAGACGTCAAACGAATTATTTATTAGAAAGGTTAGGGTTCGGTTCCACAAACAGTAAGCTGGCCACTTTAATGCATGTTCATTTTCTAGTTAGGTAATAAAAAGGAATTGAAATCTAGAGAAAAATAAGGAGATCGATGTCCAACCCAACTCAAAGCTTGGCGTCACACACGCGCGCTTACACCACAGTTTTACAGATATAAACGAGACGTATTTGTAATCACGATCTCATACTATACAGCGTGTTTAAAAACTGCGCTTTATTATCTTAAAAGCTGCGAGAAAACCAACATTCGCTCGCTGCTTTCATAGTTTTTCTAAGGCAGCACACATGTTATCTTGACTAGTTTAGAGGCATAAATTACAACTGTAATAAATACACTTTTTAGTTGGCCTGAAGAGGCCGGTTTTCAGCTCAAACTGGAAAACTGGAGCCCTTCCTGCAAGGAGCCCGTCGCCACTGAAATTTCTAAAAAGCAGACGCTTGTTTGGATATCTCAGTGTTGACTGAAAATTTTAAATGTCATTGCTGCAGTCCTCTTTTGTTTCCGGATCCACACGCGAATGCGACGTATACTCCATTTCGATCTTCCAGCCAGGGCCACTGCGAAGTTTAGGTACTTTGGTGAAGAGGTTGCGCGACTGAAGTATAAAAAGCCTACATTAAGGATGACTCTTGTCTGCTTGCGACCAAAATTGTGAGCGTGACGGATCAAAGCACGCAACATTTCGTTACACATATTCACACCACGGAATAGTTGGGCATACTGTGTTACTTCTATACGTGATAGCGCTTTACGAGAGAGGGTGCTGCCTGATTACGACAGCGAATGAGATGAACGCAAATGTCTCCGCTAATATTTACCGAATGTTGTACCAGCAAAAAGCTTTACAAATCCGCCAATTACCACACCCCTCTCCTTTAGGTCAGTGTCTTTGCGGGCAAATAACACGACACGCGTATTTTGTTGCTTTAAATGAATTGCATTGCCTATAGTGAGATCAGCCGGCATAAAACGCATCATCACGTACTTTACAAACGAGAAGCATGCACCAGTACGCACACGCAAAAAATAAAGCAAAGAACAGGCAAAAAATAAAGGAGAACAAGCATTTACTCACAAGAACATTGTGAATTTGCAGTTCTGGGTTTTGGAAGCGAACGAGCTTGATGTTAGAATCAACGGCGTCGAGTACTTCAGGCGTGTGAATTACACGGTCATTTTTGTCAAGAACGTGAATGTACAGGTCCGTCCTGCAGCAGGAAACACGCATCAATCAAAATTACGCGGAATACACTCCAAATTAAATTTCAATTTTTTATATAGTTGTCCATGCAGTGTGACTGGTTCATCAAGTAAGACCGGAAATAAAACAATTATGGATGCTGGCATCTTCGCCTAAACGTCGTGTGTATATTCCGGAGAAGGAGAGACTACAGAGGCATAAATATGTGTGCCAGCGCATGGAGGAAGGACATTTTCGTAGTGCTCACCAAGACTTCACTAGCTTCCCCTTGTCGCTCACGTGATATTTCAACTTGTCAATAACCACAGTTCCTCCAGTGGCGTTAGAAAGAACACTGTGGAGGAAAAAAAACATACAGGAGTAAATCATCATCGGAATAGAGTTTTCAACAAGGCACCGAGATGTAGCACCACCGCCAATGCAGTAAAAATGTTCTTACGCTATGACACTCATTTGGTCCCTGTACACTTCCTCCGGAGGCTGGGCGATTATTACCCGCACTAGTTGTTCGGGTTCGTAGATCCAGACCTTCGGGGGAAAAGGGAGATCATAGTTGCTTAAATATCACACTTTGCCACGTATATTTAAATATACATGCATAACTAATCATGTACCAAGAATAAGTTCTGTCGGAAATTCGAAGGTTTGCTGTATTCTTTACGAGCCTACCCACGCCGGTGTTTATACGAATCCTCTAAACAGCACTTAAATATTGCCATTTCAAAATAAAAAGATGTTTATGCAGTATAGATATGCCATCTGCCGTTGCGGTAATATGTTTATGAATGAGGCATCGTAGCTGAATGTAATTATGGTTAATTAACCATTAAGATTCAAAGCCTATGAAGAGTTCATCGTTTATATAGTATTTCGTATATTGACGCCAGATCTTTGTGAAAGACGTGTCCCTTTTTGCTTGTAAGAAAATTGTGTCATCCGCGAAACTGTGGAACCATGAATTCTCCGGTCTGAGAGCACGAAGAATCGAAACACGCGACTGTATAGGGCTTCTTTTGAGGGTATGCGTTGCTGCCTACGTGTCCACACGTCACTGAAAGGCGGAAATAAGTGCTCGGCGGCCTCGTTGCGATCCTTAGTTCTGTACTCTGTGGACCTGTTCTTTATTCTGTGGCCCGTTCCGTCGAAAGCACCAATCGCCGATTTGTTTAGCACACTTGACACCGATGCGACGTGAGTAAGCCCTCCCACAAGATTTATTGTTGCTATACGTTTCATGCCTTGAGCGTGCTGATTACAACTTAACAAACACTAACTACGTGGTACCATGGCAAAGTTGCGGTCACCACGAAGGCTGAACAGAGTTGAAGAAAAAAATAAAAGTTCAGCAGCCGGACCTAAAACAACACCGAGTGATTTCATTGAAGAGCATTGCCTCAAAGTTTCCCCAGGTGCGCTGAGAGCACACTACCCGGGATTTGGATTATTCGAGATCATGCACGAAAGCGCTCACGTAACAATACTTTTCTTTTCTTGAAGGAATATCCTTGCTAAACTGGTGCTTTTGGCCATGAAATGGCCCTTGCGCAATAATAATAATAATAATAATAATAATAGTAATAATAATAATAATAAAATAATAATAATAATAATAATAATAATAATAATAATAATAATAATAATAATGATGATGATGATGGTGGTGGTGGTGATGATTATGATGATGATGATTATGATAAAAGTCTTCGCACTTGAAGAACTACTCGTCTCATTTGAAGCAACGCGTGGATTTGTTTCAGAAAATCTTCGCTTGAGAATCAATGTGCATGCTGTTTTCGCGAACGAATGAGGAGTATTTCGGATGTCAGAGGCAGCACTTTAAGTGTCGGTACAGTACCGCACTTAGTATATCGAGATGGCGCATCTGTTTTGCTATAAAACACTACAAGCATCTCGGATTGCGCTGTGCATGATCGAAAAAGTAAGTATTACCGTGATGATGTCAGGAATTCAGCCTAATTGCTTTAGATGGCTTGCGTCACAATTATAACCATCGACTTGAAAAATAGAAACAAGCAAATGAAAGTAACCTACTATCACTGTTCTTTGCTCCGTTGCGCGAAATGCCTTCTTATGAATAACTATACCCTGCCGAGTGAAGGTACGTGTATACGTTTGGCCCCGAAACGACAGTTGCCAAATTAGATTTTTCGTTAATCCAGAGTATACTATAGTGGCAGTTCTGCATTTTCAGTTTACCTGCATAGTACGGGGCGTTTATAAACATGGGCGCGTTATCGTTCACGTCGTCAATGTGCACGTTGACAAGGGCCACCGTTCTGTCGGACTCGCTGTAGCTGCGTATGCTGGGCGGGAGGCCATCGGCTTGCCTCTGCAAGGAAAGAAAATCACGTCATGCGAACTTATGCGCCACACGTACCGCTCGGCCACGACACGACGCGCACTTACGGAGTACACGAGGAAATCGGGGTTGCTGGAAGCTTTCACCACCAGTTCGAACATGTCCTTGGACTCCCGGTCGAACGAGGCGTTTGAGTATATGATTCCCTGCATCTTGTCAATCGTAACAGCATGTCCCAGTTTCCATCTGCGTAAAACACGGGCAGTGTACGGTTATCGAGTGCTAGTAAATCGCAAAGACTGTGGTACACCAAAATGATCAGCATGAATAAAATTACGAGTTTTCATTCCGCCCAAAATGTCTTCGTACCGAGTGATGATCATATTTCTTAGCAACGCCATTGCAGGGACGAGGAACACACCAACGCTTTTTTTTTTTCTGAAGTTGATCCGCTACATGCTCAACTCCTGTCCTAATTTCTCATATGAAGGGTCGCAATTCACAAAAATCAATGAGAATCCATCCCCAACGATCTGTTCTGGTGATACTGCAAAGAGATTTTTCTTCTCAAGCCGCAGGTCGGGAAGCAAGTGGAAGAGATAAATGCTTCGAGAGGAAGAATTTTAATTACGCCGCAGGAGCCTCACCGATAATGTAATAGTAGACCATGGCATTTTCGCCGACGTCTTGGTCAATAGCTGTCACTTTTCCAACGTGGAAACCGCTGCTTAAGTTCTCCTTGATGTGGAACACATAGGGTGCCGTAGACTGAAAAGAATAAATCAAAATAAAGAGGTCAGTAAGTGCTGAAATCAGCTATATAGATCGATGTTTGGATCAAAACGTCACCCGGGTGCGCGGGAATAGAGGTGCGTTGTCGTCGATATCCTTCAGCACGACGGTCAGGAACCGTAGCGTCTCAAATGGGGCTGGCGTGCCGTGGTCTTTGGCGACTAGCACCAACTGAAACATGCACAAGTAGTGATAATTCTTAAGTGTTTCCGTCACAAATAAGGGCAACTTACCATATCCCTATACCATCATACGTTCTGCAGTTAGTCAATATTCGAGAGGATTGAGGATTGTGGCAGTCACTTGCGGTTGAGAAATGTTTGTTAGATTCAGTTATTATAGCGTGTCAATGGGAAGTGCGCAAGCAACCTATGCTATATAGCCTCGCATCTGTTAATGGCACATCCACAGAGCAGAGCAAAGTATGCTTGGCTTTGCTTTGCGGACTCTCACTCTTTCTCAAACACATGCATATGTACCGACTTGTCCAGGTATATATATATATACCTGGACAAGTCGTCGGTACCCACTCAAGTTTGTAATGTACACCACTAGAGCTAACAAGGAAAGAAAGTGTTTACCTCGTAACGTGGCCTCAGCTCTCTGTCAAGGACGACTTTCGCTTGAATTTCTCCCGTGACTTCGTCGATAAGAAATTCGTCTGTTTCAGCGACGTTCCTGTCTCCTACTTTGAAGTAGTAGGAAATTCGGCCGTTGTCACCGTGGTCCTTGTCAGTGGCTTCCACTGTCATTATGATCTGATTAGAGTGGGTCTGATTCTGAAAGAGGTGGGCAGGTATGTGCATTTGCTTCGAGACGACGCGAAAAAGGTCCGCACACGCCTCTGTCTACTGCCTTTCAGTTTCTATAGGTAAAAAAAAGTGCGCTATTGCGTACCAGCAGATGTGTAGTGTGTTAACAGGTCACTTGTTGACAATTATTTTCATTAGCTTTTTTTCGTTGACATATATCTCAAGTCCCAGAGAAAAATTGAGCTTAAGCATTGAGAAACATTGCCTGTGGACAGCAGGCACTGCTAAGCGACTGTACAACATATACATGCAGTGAGATATAGTTTCACTATAAGCAAGCTAGATAAACGGTGAAAGGGTTAAGATGGTGACATATGTAAGAACTGATGCATGGCTACTTGTAATAGGCTCACTCTTTATTTTATTTTCCCTCATAACTAGATCAAGAATACAAAATACACAGTACTAGAGCTGCGCCCCAATTAAAGATAAATACACCAGAACGTGTGACCACGGTATGTACTCGTTCATAAAGGGCAAATCGTGTGCAACTAATTCATCCCTATTTTATTCTAAGCTAACACGCTCAATTCTTAATGAAGTTATTTGGTGCGTTGTTTTCTTCCATGTGAGGCTTTGTTACATGCAGTACACGGGCTGGTCGTTGTCACCTCTGCATTTGCCTCTTGTTTAACGTCTTGCACTGCCCATACAGGGACACGACTGGTTCTATTCTTAAAAATAATATCAGGGGTTTTAGGTTGTTCCGAAATCACTATATGATTATGAGAGACGCCGTAGCAGAGGCCTGCGGGAATTTCGACCATCTGGTGTTCCTTGACGTGCCCTGACATTGCATGGCTCACGGGTCTCTCTCTAGCTACAGCATTTCGCCTCCATCAAAATATGACCGCCGAAATCGAACCCGCGACCCTCAGGTCAGCAGCCGAGAAGCGAAAGCGCCACACCACCTCGGGGGACGCGACTGGTTTCCTTTCCGAATTTCGCAGTGTAGCCCAAATCACACACGCTCTCTTTTTTTTGTTGACGTTGCATTCCGCCAAGCTTCTACATTAGCCGTTGCTTACCTCCATGACTTCGACTGTCGCATTGGGAAGTGACGGCGTCACAAAATGCGGCTTGTCCAGGTTGATTTCGATGAGCCTGATGAGTACTATGCAGTTGTCTGTGTTGGGCCCGTTACCAGCGCCGTCACGCGCCTCGAGCCCGATGCGGTACTCCTTGCGGCTGCTCTCGAGCTTCTTTACAGGGTACACAATTCCGGTCTTCGGGTTTACAGCGAGGACACCTGCACAATCACCAAATCTAAGTTATATTGTAACCGATTTTGTCGCCAAGAATTGTTGTCGTGGAGAATCGAAATTCCACTGAAATCGAATTTGTACAGTGTGGACGGCCGCACCTTTTCAACTCGTGTACGAAATGAACCGAGCAATGCGTCATCATACGCGTGCGTATCATTTCGGTTGTTGTTGAAAGCTGACGATTAGATGACAAGTTCTCGAACGACAATTGCATGACGTCACGTTTCCCGTGCATGTCCCTCAGGGTTTTTTGTTGTTGTTGTTGTTGTATCGGTGGTGCATTAGCTATAAAATAAAATGAAATTCCTCTTTCTCTACTGAGGCTTCCAATTCGTTGAAAACGATTTGCGCTGTCATCCATGGATAAGCATTTATGCCGTATTCATTTTATGTATAGGCTTGGCTGTATTGCTCTTCTGATTATCATAAGTTGATCTTTTCAAGACGACATTGGTGAAAATGATGACTGCAAGCTCCTTTTGCTTCAGCACATTCCACACCAGTCATCTATCACTTGGCTTGGCTGGTAATATAAACTGAGTGGATCAGTTTGCCATTTTTCCCACTTACCGTTTTCGTTGCCAGCAACGATAGAATAGCGAATCTCAGCGTTGATTCCTTCATCCGCATCCGTTGCCGACACTTGAACAATGCTCTGTGCAGACTCAAGCGGGCTGTTCGCGACGAACGAGGCTTCATAGGTCTTCTTTGTGAAAACAGGAGGGCTGTCATTGTCATCGAGGAGGGTGATGTACACCTGCAAGTTGTGCCAGAGTACACAGTGAAATTCTTTTCCGTGGATCGAAAAATAGATCAATGTTTACCCACAAGTACGAGAGAACTGAGGATCAAATTGAGTTACATTCCAGTCAACTGGTCTATTTTTTTATTATACCAGTAAAAACTTAGTAGAGTGTGCTTACCGGTACGGACACTGATCTCGTTGTTATTCTTGACCCATGTCAGTGGCCACAACTTGAAGTGTGATTGCGGCAGTGATTTCTCGATCTAAGTTGGCCATTTCCGCCACGCGTATTTCCCCCTGAAAACAGCATTATCAGATTTGATCTCGAGAGCTGGCACACAAGTAACAAACGTGGCAAATCAGCAAATAAGCTGTATAAATATCTAGGATGGTGCTTCCTTTCCAACGCACCTGCTTATTGACGTGGAAGTCTCCGCTTTTCTCTCCCAGCAGCGAGTAAGAAACAACTCCGAATTCTCCAGCATCAATGTCTCTCGCCTCAACTCTTGTAACAAACGTACCTTGAGGGGCATTTTCCTGGACTGAAGCATGGTAGGCTTTCTGTAAGAGATAAATTAGTGTAGTGTATATCAATACTAAATTGTCTCAGCCTTGGTTTTCAATTTGTCTCTGCCATGTTTATAGCTTCTTTCGTGTGATCTGTGTAGACTTTAAAGCACAGCTTATGTGTATTTGTGTATGCACAATCTAAGATGTATGTTTGGAGGAAAAGAGGACTAGAGAGATCTTCAGCAGATTGGGTGCACGTTAAAGAACCCCAGTGGTCGAAATTTCCGGAGCCCTCCACTACGGCGTCTCTCATAATCATATGGTGGTTTTGGGACGTTAAACCCCACAAATCAATCAATCAATGAGATCTTCAGTGTAACGTGCAACGCAGAATGCTTGGGATGTGGGCACCTTGGTAGAGATTGTGTGCAGCTTTGCTTTATGCGCGTCTTTCTTATCTCCTTTGGCATGCGTTTACATGATTACGTGAGCTCAAATGACTTCCCGTTGTGCACACCTGGTGCCGGCGCCACCGGTGCTTTCATTTCAATCTTTATCGCACTATTTGCAAGGGGAGGTAAACCCAGAAAGGGTTCTTTATACGACGGATTTCCTTAAAAAACAAATAAAGGTTTTTACGAAAAGGCCGCAACCGTAAGGTATCTGTCGTATTTGCAGACGAACTCTGCGTCAAGGCGAGAAAACGTTGCCGTGGATAAAGCTATTTCCCGTTTAACCACATCAACAAGATACTGCAGCGGCGCGCCTTAATTTCGACATATATACATATATCGTCACAGGGCACTTCAGTATGACGTAACAGAGCGGCCACCCTTCTTGTACTCCCGGCACGAGTGTGTTCTTGAAATTCGATGGTGAATATCTTCAAATACGCGCACGACCTCTCGGATTTCCGCAAAATTTTATAAATATTTAGAAATTACAACTTTCTATATAAACAGCTTCCGTCAAGTTAAAACTTTTAAATTATATTGATAAAACTATGTTCATTTTCCAAGTAACTTTAGCAGTAGAAATATACTCTCACGTCATCACACAGATCGTCTTCCAAGACGACAGGTGCCTTGCTGTCATAGAACTTTGAAAATAAAAATCTGGATAGTATTCTGTAAAAAGAAGACGTATACGCAGCTCTAAAAAATCTGTATCGGCCGTCTCATGTCAAAAGCAGGTTCAATCCCGGCCGCGGTGGTCGCATTTCGAAAGAGGCGAAATGGCAGGAAAATGGCCTGTGTACTGTGTTGTGTTAGTGCACGTTAAACAACACCAGATAATCAAGTTTCCGGAGCCCACCACTACGGCGTTTCTCATAACCATATCACTGTTTTGGGACGTAAAACACTATATTATTATTATTATATTATTATTATTATTATTATTATTATTATTATTATATTATTATTATTATTATTATTATTATTATTATTATTATTATTATTATTATTATTATTATTATGTAGAAAACTTGCAACACTCAGAAATGTCACAGGACCACCGCGCAGCTTAGGCTGTGTAGAGCTTTGTTCTTAGTTTATTTGACTCCCTCTCTCTGTCTCCATCCTCCTTCACACACTTCTTTTCCCACCTCTGTACGTGGTAGCAAACCAGTTCTTCTACTAGATTAACCTCCGTGTCTTCAACCATCTTTTGGCGAAACGACCTACATGTCTTAAAATGAAAATCCATGCGATAGCTCATTCGAAGCTAGAAAACCGGGGGAAAAAATTCGTGCATTTAGTTCGTTCATTTCTTTTTTCAGAACTTTCAGTGATTTCGATGAGGAAGCATCAGAGTTTTAGCGCTTGCGTTTGCATTGTGACATGCATGATACTGTGGCCAGGCAAACATCAGACTTACATGCAGACATCTTGCACACGAACCATTACGCGTATTGCATATGAATAGTCAGTTGAAATTCTCTCGCGTGAGTCGCCAAAAGGAGGCCGTCAAAGTGGTGAAGCGGGCTAGTTGGTTTGAGTCACTTGTAGTCATATTCGTAGCGCAAATGGCGATAATAAGGGTGTTATAACTGGCCGTGCGAGAATCCAGCCTGTATGTGAATGTCATCGGCGAGCTCTCCTAACATGTCAGTGTGCGCCACATGGAATGCGCATCGGCATCACTGAGACGCGCAGTCGGCGTCGGACAAGAAGCGTGTGAACAGACCGGAGGATATAAAGAAAGTGTCACGTGTGCGCTGAGAGCTCTCTCTCTCTCTCTCTCTCTTCTCTCTCTCTCTCTCCTCTCTCTCTCTCTCTCTCTCTCTCTCAGGCTTTAGCATGGTCCCATCGTCTCTGGTCTAAAGGCGCGCCGGCACGCCTAGCTTGTTTGCTTGTAAATATTTAAATAAACTGCAAGTTCTTTGTGTGAGCAAGAAACCTTGCTATACTTTTTCCTTGCCCGGCGCCTGGGTGGTTGCCAGTGCCTGGGTCCTCGGTCACATCAGAGGGTAGGTGGTGATAAGGAGGATAAAGCCTCAAGCACGAAAAAATTATGTGCGGAGTATTATATCCGAAGCATTAGCGAACTGCGGCGAATTTGAGCCTATCTATCTATCTATCTATCTATCTATCTATCTATCTATCTATCTATCTATCTATCTATCTATCTATCTATATCTATCTATCTATCTATCTATCTATCTATCTATCTATCTATCTATCTATCTATCTATCTATCTATCTATCTATCTATCTATCTAGCTGCTTACAACATAGCTCTCCTGGCCGTTTAGATATTGGTATGGCATAAAATGACTGTATGAGGAGAATAAGTGATTAGTCACAACAGCAAATCATGACATGTCATGAATGTCATGATTTGCATTTCATGGTCTTGCTGCTCTTGTGGTGGTTTCTTTCAAATGGCGTATTGCAAAACTGGTGTGGTATGACATGACTGGATGGTGAACATACCGTAAGGTGGAAATCACGACATGCATGTCAAGTAAGTCATGGCTACATGCCACGCTCATGGTGCGCTTGCGATCGTTTCGCTAGGTTCACGTGTACCAAACTTAATATTACGTGACGCGAACGAACGACAAAGGTAAATGACACGTCCAAACATGATAATTATGACATGCGTGTCATGTAAAACATGACTACATGCTATGCTCATAGTGTACTCATGGTCGTTTCGCTAGCTCCACATATACCAAATTCGGTATCACGTAACGTGAATAGACAACGAAGGTAAATAATACGTCCAAACTTTATAATCTTGACATGGAAGTCATATACGACATGATTTACGTCCGCCTCGTAACGTTGTGCTGATTTTAAAGTAACATATCAACCTTCCTCATTCGTGCTTCGCATATCATCGATTCCCACTGTACGCGGGATCTACCAATTTTTAAATGTGTTTAGCGCCTTTTTAGAAGGCCTCAAGTTTATCCATGAATTGCCGGAAGGGGGGAGTATTCAATTCCTTGATGTGTATTTTGAGGTGGCTGAGAACTATATGTGCTCGAGCTACAAATCATGTTCAAAAAAAGAAATGCTAAGGTATGATTCGCCTGATTCAAAACTTATAAAAAGGGAGAATCGCTGTCAGCTGCTTTAGGGCAGCCGTTGTAAAGTCATGTGAACACCTTGTTGGGCAAACTTTGCGACGCCAGGTAGAACGCCTCGAGAGAGCGGGTTTTACCAAGGAACGCATCAGTTATGTGGCTTAAAGAGACACTCAAGTCAAGTAACAATTTACGTTGGAGTGAAAGCTTAGTGTGCGACAACATTTAAAACGACAATATTATCAACAACAGTGCCCCACTTATCGAGAAATTAAGGTAAATGGACAAGAACACAAGCGCCGCAGTAGGACATTTCAAAATGATCCCGATGACATCAGATGGACCACCTACATTATTCACTGGTAAACAATCTAACTGCACTAAATAAAGAACCTTCCGTGCGTTAATAGACGCAACAAAATGCTGCTTTATCGTTACTGTTTGATTCATGGAAAAAGAGCCGCCGGGCATTACTATCAGGAATGGTACGAATAGTTCAAAAATTCAATTTTCACGTGGTTACATGGGACAGGTGGTGTCATCTAGCGGGGAGCAGTTGAAACAAAAGCGTCTGCACTCTCGAAGCCAATGGCGGGAAATTAATAAATGACCGTTGTTGCTGCTGTGGCTCCCGCTGCTTTCGGTCTGCTGCTACTAGTGCAGTAAAGCCGGGCAATGTTGTGCATGGCAACAGGGACGAGAGACGGTCCGTTTCTTGAGGCGGGTAATTGAAGTGCGCTAACTCAATGTGCAGCACTTAAACGTGATTTTTATTTCAAAACAGGCCTTTTTTGGCAAAAAAGTCAAACTACGAGGTTTCTGGACCACAATTTCAACTATCAACATCGGCTTACTAGTTGACTTTAGTGTCCCTTTAAGTCCTCATAATTTTCTTAAAAGAGGCGAGGACTAAAAAGGGTGCTCGTTCGAAGTCCTGTGGCAAGCCAAGTAAAGTGCCTGTAGCCTTGCCATACATCCACCGCTTCTACTACCGGCTAAAGAAGGTGGCAGAAAAATGCGAGGTGTTGGTGATATTCCCTGCTCCATAGAAGCTTGCCCGCATGTGCCCGGTGGTGAACGGTGGCAAAGGCAAACGTACGTGCACAAAAAGCACGTGACACCATTCGTGCCTCGCAAGACGGGTGTCGTGTATAAGATACCCCTTTCATGTGGCAGATGCTACATAGGACAAATCTAGCGCTGTCTTAAATGACAGATTGCGAGAGCACCATGCGTCAGTTGACGCGCAGGCAGGCAGTGTGGGGGGGGGGGGGGGCATTTGACAAATCATTAGAGAGTTTTAGTACTACGCACGTATCGTACGTGGCGGCACTGCGTACTTAAGGACGCCACGTTTTGCGCAGACCCCAACGCGCACGTATTGCGTTACGTACGTGGCCGCTACGTACGCACGCGATCGATGTGTGCATGCGTAGCGAATGGGGTGGTCGCGCCGCTGTCACGAACACGTTCGCGACAGCGTGAGACTTCATTTCGCAAAATGGCGGCATCAAAGCGGCTAAAATATGACCATAATCCGGTTAGCACACTTACATTGGCTCAGATTGACCTTCAACAACACGTACTTTTATATTGATCTACCAGATGGCGCAACACGCTTCACTTTCGTTACGTACGCGGGTACTACGGCGTCCTAAAAGCCAATTCGTGGCAAACGACGCCACGTAACGCAAGGCGCTTGGGTGATGCGTACGTAGCACCATTCCGCAGTACTAAAACTCTCTATTGCCACAGGTGTGTTTGTGCTCCAGAATTCACCACTACACGTGGGCTTACAAAAGACAAGGATCAGGCAACGCGAGAAGTTATAGAAGCATTTGCTATCAGCAAGAAAGAAAATGTGTCAGTATTGCTTCGTTCGCTTTGTCCCGTGAAGAGGTGGAGTATTTGAAAGCAAATCTTGTGCATGTTAGGTGGTAACACGTGACGTTGCCGATATTAGAAAACACCTTGGAGTGTAATGGTACGCATGCGCTCATGTCCGATGGTTTCTAACTTTTTATGTTGTATTTCAATAAAAAAAAACCAGAGGATGTCTAGCGCCCATCCTGTAAATGCGTTCCTTCTGTGTCTCCGTCTGGTTATTTTCTGCGCTATGAATATGAACACAAGTGAGCAAAAGGAGGCCTCCATGGGGAAATTCACTACATAAGACTGCGGACTGCGTGTTTATTTAGAGTGCATGATTATGATTAAAACAAAACTGCCCCCCCCCCCCTGCCTCAAGCTGTTTTCTTTATTACTTACTCGTAGTGGCTGATATAAAATTTTATCGGGAGCCAGCATAACTAGATGGTATAAGCAGACAAATATGCCGAAAGTTAAAAGGCAGGACGCGAGTAAGTACAGCTGCACGTACCTTAGAAAAGGTGGGGTCGTTGTCATTTATATTTGTAACAGTTGCTGTAACCAACGCGACCGCTGATAGTTGAGGAATGCCTGTGTCTCGCACCACAACGGAAAACCTGAGTTCCTGTACTTCTTCGTAGTCGACTCTCTTGTGTATTGTGACTACACCTGAAAGAAAATTAAAATAGGGCAGAGGACAAGGTTATAAATAATATACAACCTTCACACTGAGCGGTGTGCCTTTTAAGTTTCGGAAGGCTTTACCTGAAAGCTTGTCAATGGCGAAGTAAGGATTTTCGGGTTCTATCGAGTAACTGGCTATGTTAGAGTCTGGGTCTGTGGCGACAAATGGACGCTACGACACTTCCTATGGGTTGCTCCTCCATGACGGTAATGAAGAGTTCCGGATGGTCAGGGCTCCAAGGCGGTGGAAACGTTGGTGGCAAATCATTGAGGTCCACTATGGGTATCACGAGGGTTCCTGAGAAAACAAAATAAAGTAGGCCTTGATGAGATTACGGACGCGAGCAAATTCAGTTCATGCACTCTTTTTGTTGACCGGTTGGGAACTGCGGCTGAATAGAACTTGTTTATTACCTAAGCCAGTCTGACGTGGCACTGCGCTGACGTCGGTCACCACGGTTGTTAGCATTACGACGGCAGCAGCTTCGCGGTTGAGCTGAGACGCCACTTTCACTTCCCCAGTATTTTCATCCACGTCGAAAAAAGCCCTAGTGTGAACACAAAAAAGTACAAGTGAATGACCTAAAGAAAAAAGAGTATCTTTGTTTCTGTTATTCTCTAGTCATATACTATAGCTCTGCTCGCTTTTTGTTTATTACCATCACTAAAAGACAATTTGCTGTGGTCCTAATTAATAAATGCTCATTTTGCCGATTTCCCCATCTTTATCGAGTCAACAAAGCCCTCATGTTTCTAGGCAGACACAAAAAACATTGACTCGTATTTAGCGTCCATATGTGATTTCGATACATAAATGTTGGGTTTATACTTGTTTACGCTGTTCTGGCTATATGAATTTAGACAAATGCAATTACGGGGACATATTTTGATAGTGACGTCTGAAATGTGGCTAATTCGATTGTGTAACTACGCAAAAAAATGAATACCTTATACGCTTGAACTGATTCATTTACGTTTCTTCCGTCTTTGGAAATGGCCGTTACAGGTTCAGCAATGCCGTACTTCAAGAATTCCAGGGAACTAGCATCCGGATCTTTGGCAACAAGTTTGTAGAATCTGTAACCGGCTGGCGCCCCTGCATAAGCAGAAAAGTCACTGTCTCATTGACCTGGGCACATAAAGAGTCGGAACGTAACAAAAAGTAATCGAGGAACGTGAGAAGACATCTGTTTTGGGAATGGCGCCGAGTGGCATATAATTTGACACTATACAGTAACAGAACGCGATACCTTGAAGAGAAAACAAATATGGAAACGGCATGTGGTGAGCAGGTTCACACAAGTACAATGGCGCGGCAGCCATAAATAGGGTTGTTTCTTATTTTTATATGTACATTTTGCGTATGTACTAAGTTAAACGCGTCTCGGCATACGCCTACACGTTGATCGAAGATCTTTTGCACACTCACGAATAAGATTTACAGAAGCATGCTAGTTTCGTGGCTAACATGCAGCCGGCCGTTATATATGTACCTTCGATACTTGCGCCCTTTGCGTCGTCGGCTGAAAGTATGGCATCTTGTCGTTGCTGTTCAGAATGTTCACGCTGAGTGTAGTAGTTCCTGTCTTCTCTGGAACTCCACCATCAATCCCAATAATCTGGTCAGAATGCGAAGAAACAGAACATAAAAAAAATTCATTCGTGAAGATCGAAACTAAGAAAATGCAGGCGTTTAAGCTGCATGCATACTTGTACACGTCGTTGATATGTTTTTGTTACCTCCATTATGTAGCTGCTTCGCCTGTCGTAGTCTAGGCGGCTTGTTGCGGACAGTGAGACTACTCCAGTGTTGGCATCTATGGTGAAGTCATCGAAGGCTCCCTTGAGGATGCGGTACGTGACATGGGCGTTCGCCCCCGTGTCAGCGTCTGTCGCAGACACTTGCTCCACCAGGGTGCCTGTGTAAAAGTTGAGACCAGAATAAACGGTCAGAGGCTGTTTTGACACCGTACACGTTGTGGGCGTTGCGGAGTGTACCTGGTGGAGAAGCCTCTGGAACTGAAGCAATGTACCGCTCTTTCTGAAAGACGGGAGCGTTGTTGTTGGCATCCTGAAAAAAAGTGAACAGCAATATACTGTGAACATCATCTGTTCTGTAGAATACAGCAGAGTGCACGTACCCTGACAGTAATCTTCACTGTAGCAGTGTCGATACCCGAACCACCGTCCGAAGCCTGAACGGTCAGTGTAATCCTGCAAGAAAACAAAGGTGCAATAAACATAAGTATTTTCTTACCAGAGAGAGCGAATTTATTACAAGGCGGAGAGGTCGGCCCTACCTGCATCAATGCCGGATAATTATTTCCGGGTGTTCATTGATGCAGACGCTACATAAAATAAAAAAAATTGTCATTCCTACGCTTGGCTGAATGTGGATGTTGAAAATGTTTCACTATTGTGTTCCTTTTCATAATGCTGACAACTGAACGGTCGTGACTTCTAATGTGGAAGCGCGTGACTTCACGAGCTTCCGCGTTTGGAGCTCCTTCGCTTGTATTGAGGATGCGTGGAGCCATACGTGATTGTACACGGCTCCAGCATGAAATCATTTTCGAAGCCAAGCAATTTCGCTGCATATGTTCACAGGGAACAAAACCAATCAGATGAAAACTGCAGGAACATGAGTGTATATATATGGCATTATGACGCCGGTTCGTGGTAAATTGTTCAGAGCCATTCGATACCACATGATGAGGAAAGTACCGGAAGGTCGTAAAAAAGTTTTGCTTTGCTAAAGGACATATCTGAGACTTGGCATGACATTTACTTACACGTCAGACTTGAGGAGAGAAACATCCAACCCTTGACGATTGGTGACTGTAATATCACCCGTCTGTGGGTTGATAGTGAACAAATTGTAGCTGTTTCCGGACACGATGCTGTACTTGACGAACGATGTCACATCAGGGTCTCGGGCCTAAAAGAGGGACGTCATCATTGTAATAAATTATCGCGTAAAATGTGTCGCGAAAAATGTGTGCACTTTTGCCACAAATATTAAATGTTTCCAAATTGATGTGAACATTTCTTTCCTGTTTTCTTGTTCAGCCGATCTCAAACAGGACGTATGTGATCTCAAACAACATTACTGCATTATAATATCAGCATATATGTAACCTTTGTTTTTAGTATGATAATGCACGCGACTGAATAGAAGCCATCAATATTTCTTGCAGAATCAACCTCTACGAAGGTTGTCTAAAATATGTGAGACCACTCGCACTAATATCAGCACACTGCTGCTGGACCATAAGCGTGGTACCAAGGGCTGTGCTCAGAAAAGCTATCGCAGGATGGTGCGTGCTGAAATATGATACGTGCGACGCCGCACCGGTCACCGACTTTCTGCGTACTTCTTACGGTAGTTAATCGAGCTCCATGCTGCTGACCCTTGTTCGATTCCCCAAGATGGTAAGGCTTTCACGCATGTGTTTTTTCTTCTTTCTTGACCAACCAAACACGTAAACGTGGGCAGACGAAGGGAAAGAATGCTGTCATCTAAAAAATGATTGATTGAAAATCGTCTACTAGGCGCATTTCTGCCGACTCATAAAGGACATGGTCGTGTATATCACGTGCTCATTATCAGGCACCTATTGGAAGGTTAAGGCTGATTGGGAGAAAGAAAAAACGGATATCGCACCTGAACCCTAAGCGGGGGGTCGAAGCGTACGTCTCCCTCGTCGATGAGCGCCGTGTACAGGTGCTGTTCGAAGGCCGGCGGGTTGTCGTTAGCGTCTGTCAGGCGCACTGTTAGTGGCACGACGGCGCTCTGGCCCCGGCCTCGGTCATCCGTCGCCTGATACGAGAGGAAGTAGGAGGGCCGGGACTCGAAGTCTAGGCAGTTACCGCGTCCAGGAGTCTCACACGGTGCCACCGTCACCACGCCAGAGCTGGGGTCTACGTGGAATCTGCAAGCAAAGCAATGTTGATGAGGTAAGCTCTACTCGGTTCGGCGGACTTGATACTCGTCGGTAAATATCACTATACATTTGGCTCTTCCGGGAACCCACCGGGTTTTCTTCTTGATGCATATGTACCCTCGCCTCTTGATAGTGGTTGGAGGTTAGGACAGTCGCCTATTTTTGCAAACCATAAAGCAGCTCGACGCGGAGTCGTAAGTGGAAAGAATATAATAGAGTGCAGGAAGGAGAGGCCACCTACTCTAGATAAGTACCCATACCACCATGTCTGTATTGTTACATTTCTAATGAGGAGGTCAGATAGGGTACCAGTCTACAAATTAGAAATAGCCAGTTGAGTCCCCGGCCGCAATAGAAATCGAATTCAGTACCTGCGGTGTTGGAGGCGTGTGCTCTACCACTTTGCTACCTGCTGTTCGGTTATATATTGAGGTGTTTCTTCATATCAAAAGGAGGCCCTACAAAATCTGCGAAGTCCCTGGGCACCCCCTGTCTCTTACACATAGGCTTCCTACTCCTCTCCTCTAGAGTGCGTCGGGAAGGTTCAGGTGTCTGCGCACATGCGTCACAGTTGCGATGCCCGCGCTCCTATTTTTCTTTTTCCGCCCAGCAACAACAATGTCGTCGGCTAGAGGTATCACGTTTTCCTTATGCAAGTGTTACACTATAGTTCGTGAGACTTCACCTGCTTTTACTGAAACCATAAAGGAACACATATGGCAGCTGCACTACTCCGAAACTTGAGCAAGTGCATGAAACGGTCACCCAGTAATTCCCGTTCTTTGATTTCCAATTGTTCGGTTTAGCAAAGCGTTGATGACACCAACGCTTAAGGTAAGCATGTAGGTCTTCCCCGGCACGAGTAGAGTATTGCTAGCCAGATTCGCAAACTCGGTGTGCAACATGTGCACTACTTTTGGCAGTGCTTTATCGGCTTTTACTGCTAGACCTGTGAGCCGGTACCGAAATCGCCGGCGTTGGCGCGCCGGTGTTTCCACATTCGGCGGCGACTGTGTACGGCGAGGGGTCCATAGGATCGGCGGTGGCGCGACGTGGGAGGGGGCAGATGATCAAGATTCAAGAGTTGGTGGGCATATAAACCTGCCCCTCGAGTCCTGGAAAAAAAAGGGCTTTCTCCGACGGGGCGGAGCCATTAAAGTGACAGCAGCATGTTTGTCCTCCCCTTTTCGGGGATCGTTTGTGCCCACATGTTTTGACGGGATTTGAACGGCGTAGGCTTCCTTTTCCAGGTGGTCCACCTCTGAAAGTAGCTGAGTGTCAAGCCAGGGTCACCTGTGCCCAATTTTGGAACCGGTGGGTGTCCGGCGGCACGTGGATTGGAACCCACAACCTCCCGCAGCCGAAGCGGACACTCAACCACGAGGCCACGGCTGCGGTATTAATGTATTAATGTTATGTATTCACAAATACTGCTGTTACAGTTTTCGAGACACAACAAGTGTAAATACAAATGTTCAGCACCTAGAGAAAATGCAATTTAACAAAATACATGTTTACGCAATTCTTCTTTCTAATTGCTCAGAATTGAGTCTGCGCAGCTGCCCATCAAGCTCATTTGAAAAGTGCACGTTCAGAAGAAAAGGAAACAATAAACAAAAGAAAATGAAAACAATTATGAATTGATCTAATGGGTACAATATTTAGAGGATCAAATCACCGGGTATGGTGTGAAAAAGATGCAACGAAACATATGGGTGTTGGAACCCTTGAACCACCAGTCTGAACTATCTTATTTATTGAGGAGGATGACACCATTGCAAGTGCGCCGACGTTCGAGGGGGGCTGCAGCGATAAAACATGTGCATGTGAACTAGGCGATAAACGCTGGTCATATCAACGAAATATAAGCAGAACTGCTTTTTTAACCCATTATGAGAAAGTTATGTCATGTTTGTAGTGAGGTTACCAAACAACCAACGCATATTCGAGTCTATGCACCAAAGTTTTTTGCGCTTTCAGTCAGCATTGATTGTCGAGTTGATTAACGTGCGTCGGAGACACCGACTTTTTTGAAGAGCTTGTTGCAGATTCTTTCGACATGCGTGCGCTATTTTAAATTTTCTTTGGGAGTTACAGCGATGTACTTAACCTTCATAGCACTTATATACTACGCGGTGAAAAATACGAAAGCAGGCGTTGTTGTCGCGCTGACGTTTCGACAAGCGGGCTTGTCTTACTCAAGGCCAGAACAGAACTGTTTTTTTATGGCTAGGCGCTAGCGTGTCTACACTTCGTACTTTCTCCTCCATCCTAACAAAGGAGAGAGAGGGGGGCAACATTAGATGTGGGGGTGTGAGATAGGGGGAAAGGGTACTGTAACGAATTGTATGAGTGAAAAGGGAACACGTTTCCGTGAATAAAAAAAGGAAGCAGTGGTGAGGATGTACTTGTGTCACTGATCCCCAGTTGTCGAACTGGTTGTCAAAAGTTATCGATGACAGCTTTGAAATGCCTAGATAGAGGGCGTAACTCGCAGTGGCTTTCTTTGTGTATGTACCGTACTGAATGAATGTACTATGCCTACTGGACTTACACAGTCATTAGTATATGTAAAATGAAATGGCGGTTTCTTATTTGAAAGGTCCTGACTAGAGTCTTTTTGAAGTTTGTCATGTTTTACTTCTGTTACAAAACGACGATAACAACGGTATTTAGCGCCTCCTGATCATTAGTATTAGATATAGTTCTACAGATAACGCAGTCGCCTGCATACATGCGAAGTTTAATTTGAGTATAACTGATAATTTGTTCTCCATCATTTATATAAACAATAAACAAAAGCGAACCAAGCACCCAGACTTGAGGCCCCTTCCTGATGTGATATCTACAGCCTCCAGCATTTTTAATAATATCGCGCAAGCGCCAACCGAAGGCACTATCAGCGCCTTACAACGGCGATAATCTGCGAGACTGGCAGCAGTACGCGCAGGTACATGAAGCAGCGCTAGCGCAAGCGTCACCCGCCAGGCTGTTCCTTTCAGGATGAAACACTCCCTTTGTTTAAAAGTAAAGAATGTTTAGCTTTTTTTATCTCCACGTTTGCGTTCAACAACATGCGCTGCTGCCAATACTAGCAACTTCTTTAGGTGTAATAAACTGACAAAGACCATGCGGTAAAGTAATGTTTTTTTTTGCAGTTTATTATTTTTATTACTTTTTTATTCACATTTCCCTGTGCATCAACTTCGAGCAGTTTCTTGGACTGTAATCCCAGGAAAGATCAAGAGATTATGAATGGGTTGATCACGGTTTAAGTTGTGCGCATGGTTCTTCTCGCACCACTTTTGTTTTTATTTTACCTTTTACCCAATGACAGTCATTGTGGTAAGGCGTGCGTCGTCCTGAAAGCAACAGCGTTACAGACGAACGACGCTTGCGCTAGCATTGCTTTGTGCGCCTGCGCGTACTGTTGACGGTCTCGCAGATTATCGCCTTTGTAAGGCGCTGATACTGCCTGTGGTCGAAGCTCGCGCTATATTATTAAAAATGCTTGAGACTGTACGTCAGATGACTTCGCGGGGTTAAACGTAAGAAATTTTGAGCGTGACAGCAAATGATTTGCTATCCAATCAACCAGCTTGTTTTTTGGGAAAAAAAGTTGTGAAAATTTAAAAGTTTTGCATGCCATAGTATGTCAAAGACCTTCGAATAGTGAATAAATACATAAACCTGTTTTAGGTCGTTAAGAGAAGAATGTCACAATGTCGTGCGTAAATTGAAGCAACCTTGTAACAGTAGAATAGCCAGAACAAAAGCCGTGCTGGGATAATTCAGGGATATTGCATATATTCTACAATGCATTTGTTAATGATATTCTCCAAAAGTTTAAAACTGGTCGACAGCAAAAATATTGACCTATAATTTGCTGTTACGTGCTTGTTTCCGGACTTAAATGCGGGCACAACGTTTCATAATTTACACAGCTGGGAAACTGCTGCAGAGATTATTGATTTTTAAAATGTTACTTGTTGATAGTCAGCACTCCATTCTGAATACTGCTTTATGGTCCAGATTGTTTCGAAACCTCAAGATTTGTATAAGGTTATGTACTACAGGGGAGCTTAGTTAAATATTGTAGATAGAGCAGGTAGTTCTTCAAGCGCAAAATGAACGAGTGATGTCGTTATTGGTAGAAAACAAGACAGATTTGAACTAATTACTAAAGAGAATTGCTACACCTTCAGAATTTGAGGACGATTGGTCATCAAGAATAAACGATGAGGGCATAGACGATGCGGAACTAATAAACGTCCAGAACCTAGATGGATTTTTTTCCCAAGTGCAGCGAAGGTATTGCCGACTTAGCCCCTTGGTTTTAGATTCTAGCTTATTTTTCGATGCCTTAAATGAAAATGCCACAGGTCGCGGGATCGAATCCCGGCTGTGGCGGCTGCATTTCCGATGAAGGCGGAAATGTTGTAGGCCCGTGTACTCAGATTTGGGTGCACGTTAAAGAACCCCAGGCGGTCTAAATTTCCGGAGCCCTCCACTACGGCGTCTCTCATAATCATATGATGGTTTTGGGACGTTAAACCCCACAAATCAATCAATCAAACAAATGAAAATGCATTATTATTACACTTTGAATGAAGAATCTTATTTAAGCGCTTAATGCGACAAATGAGATGCATTATATATTTCGGGGGCATGAGTGTCTTGGGTTTCAATTATTATGCTTTTATGCCACATACGTTGATAGGCATTATCATAAAACTTAAGAAGGAGCACATCTACGAGTGAAATTTGCTACAGCAGTCAAATTCTTCAAAATATGAGGCTAAGGTGTCCAATACGGAAGTGTCATCGACTTTCAGAAAGTTCAAAACCGTGTGGATTTCAGGTCTTTGAAGAGAACACGCTAAGTTTGAGACGACTTCAACAGCTTTATGGTCGGTAAACCCTTCGATGACTTCCCATTTTACACCGTGCGATAGGGGCACGCAGTCCCATAACCAGCTTAGGCTGCAGCTAACTCTTTTTCATCAGATATCGCGAAACTGCAAAACTCTAGCGTATGGTAATACGGCTGCTACCTGGGGAAAAAGCAGGGTTTGTACAGCGATATAGCGTGTAGAAGGGTACATGAGTCTTTCACTGATGCCAACTCAAATAACACGCATGCTAGCACTCACGACCACGCCATTACTGTCAAAGTTCACAGTTGAGGATAGACCCACGCAGCCTCCTACCATAGTATCTATCTCTTCATACTCCTTCATCCAGCAAAAGGTAGGCAGGGCTTCCTTTCCAGAGTAATTGACGGTAGGCATCACGCACGGAGAAACGTTATCGCATGCCTTCCGGGAGATTTAGAGGCGCAGCTTGTTTCATCTATGCTTCAGCAGTGTCCTTCGTAGGCACTCGCGAGATTTTATCCATGGGCATTTTTTTTTCTTCGAACAAGTCTCGTTTAATTAGCCAAGCCGCCACAGTGCACCCGGCCGTTGGGTGAAGGGTAGCATACTATTCGCTCTACACTGGTTAACATCCCTGCCTTTCCTTTCCCTCCTGTTCCTGTTATCCGCGAAAACAGCATACAGCGTGCGTACAAAAGTAGTTGATTTGCACGGGATACGAAACATGACAAGGACGATGAAAGCCTGTAGAGCATCAATGTAAGTTTTCTCACAATCAAAAATACACAAAAACTGTCGAAACAGGCTGGCCTTGTTTATGGAGAGGTGCGGTGTCTTCGTTGTAAAAAAATTCGTCCGTTGGGAGAATGAAACAATTCGGAGCCTTTTCCTTCAATTTCGTTCTTCATTACACTGTCTTCACTACAGTTCTTACAGGATCTTCGACAGTTATGTCTTCATAAAGCACGTGTGCAATTTGAGCGCTAAGCGTTGAGCCCATAAAATTTCGAGCTTGTGGGCTACACTCTTATTTTCATTAGCGCAATAAAAAATTCGCAAAATGCAGTGAAATCACAGGTTCATCGCACGTGATAATCATGCGAGACACGAGGGAAAAAAGGGGGGGGGGGGGGGGGCGAATGCATGGCAAAGCAGGGTAGAGAACAATTTACAGCTGATATTTCTCGTATATGGACCATTCTATACAGTATGTGCCCTAATTATGTCACGTGAATGACCATTATGGCGTCACGAAGGGCACGAAAAGAACTAGAAACGCTAACAGAGAAGAATAACACGCTGAATCGTGTATATTCAGCAACTCTTTTAGGGCCCTGATATAGACAGGGTATGCAAACACGGACGCAAGAGAGCCGCCAAAACAGTGCCACTGCCGCTCTGAGAAATCTCAAAGTTGCAGAAAAAAAGGTGAAGTGATGTATTTTGTGCCCATATTTCCCGCTCGAATTAAAATAAGACAAATGGCGGTGCACCGCAACTATTGCCCGGCGGCGGCATGGTCGCACTCTGAACTTCGGCGGTGGCGCGAACGGCGTGAGAAAAAATGGGCGGTGGCACACAGCTCTACGTCCTGCTCGTTGCGGCAGTTGCGGTGATTTTCGTATGCAGCGAGTTCTGCCAGGGGTTATTTCCCTTATCAGATGTATAGCGGCGTACCGACACAGCGCAGCGCCAGCGCAGAGCCAACGCAGAGGTGGAACAAGGGGACGACCCAATGGGAGGACATGGCCTCCGAAATGGCGGGCGTGTGGCGTATCTCGGAGGCCATTGGGAGGACCATTCCCTTGCTCGCTCGGCGAGCTGATGGCACTCTCTCTCGCACGTCGCAGGAGTAATGATGACATGTGGGGTTCAACGTCCCAAAACCACTATATGATTATGAGAGACGCCGTAGTGGAGGGCTCCGGAAATTTCGACCAGCTGGGGTTCTTTGACGTCGCAGGATTCAGCCGTATGTTTGCGAAACGTTTTATCCATTCGAAGTTAAATATTGTGGTTACTTCGTGGCTATTTATGTTCAGTACATTATTTAGTACGTTCATTTTAAACCAGGTTTGTGCATTGCTACCTTGTTATGGCCAATATTGAGAGCTTTTACTGCGAGCGCAATCGTGTCACACGAGATGTATGGATGAACGACAAGCTCGGGGCCTCAACTACTTCGCACTTAAAGTATCTGTGCCATGTTTGTCTTAGTAAATGGGCATTTGTATACTTTATTTTTATTAAACTGGCGTCATTGCAACCCTTCGAAATAATTCAAATATTCTGATATATATATACTTGCGATGGAATTTTCACATTAGTATTTTTCGAAATTTTGTGTTTTTGTAAACATAAAAATATAACAATAACTGTTACTTCATTTTCATTGAGTTTACCCATATCTTTTACAACTTTTACGAAACGCCAATGCGGGAAAAAGCATAAATTATTTCGAGACATAAATCACAATTTCTTAATCTGCTCAAGAGATTCACTTGCGCACGTATTCCACGAAAAGTACATGCAGTCTCTGTTTTGTTCAGCCACGTGAAACCTGGGGTTAGTAAAATATGCAGTAATACGGTAACCAAGTAAAAAAAACAATTATGAGCTTGGGGAGCAGAAATAATAATGAAAAGATTGAGGATGGTCTTGAATAGAGAGAATTTAAGCTAACAAGCCGCTCAACAATCGCAATGGTCCCGCTAGGCAATGCAAAAATAGCATTATCTGATTCTGTAATAACAAAGCCATACTGACTCGCGTGGTTACAAAAATGTGGTATAATTTGTGCTGTTGGAACAGCTACAAGCCAAGCACTGTTTTCGCTATGACATATTATGCCCCGTCTTTTCGGTACGTCGACAACCCACTGTCACCATCATCTTCATGAGATTCACAGCATTCTTAGAAAAGAATACTTTTGAATTCGTAGGTGAATGTACGCACTTATCTGCACCGTTTCCAAGAAGTGAGTACATTAGACCAGACTCTCCATGTGGGCTTGTGTCTCTGTCCGTAGCCTAGGGGGGAAAAGAGGAATGGTATATTTGTACAGGTCACAAGAGGATAGATCACGTGCTACCAAACTATACGTACCACTATTGTCGTGACCACGCTACCAGGTGATGCGTCCTCGACAATCGAAGCAGTGTAGCTATCTTCTTCAAACACGGGAGCGTTGTCGTTGATATCGAGCACATTCACTGTAACCGTTGCCGTGCTAGATAATTTCGGATTTGTGAACGCTTCTTCCGCGACCACCTGTCGAAAGAGAGGAAGCATGAAATTAAAGTGATGCAAAAACAAGTTAATAGCCGTTCACAACTGCAACGACACGACAGAATGCAGAATATGGCAATCAAAATTAAAATTCACAGCTTTCCCGCGAAGGCGAAGCAATGAACGTGATAGCAACAAATGGAAAATCACGCGCAGAATGACAAGCAGATCGAAACGTGCCCCGCATTTCGCACGCATAAATGACGCATGAAACGTATCCACAGGTACAAATGAACGCGAATAAGCGTCTCAGTTGTTACTTCGCTGTGCCTGAAAAGCCCGTCTTTTCCACAAATGGAGACTGTGCAACGATTTCAGTGACCTGTGTGCGCGCGGTAACTACAACAAAATCGTTCCGGTGAAAGCCCAAGGGCAGCAAAGACGTTCGATTGTCCCCACCGGGAGATAAGCAGGCGCGTTAGCGTACACCCTGCTCTCTCTCTGCGGGGCAAAGTACGCGTGGGAGATTACAGCGCGCACCGCCGCGTCGTGACGATGTGGTGACGCGTGCTCATTGCGCCAACTTGCTGGTAATGCTAAAAACATGATAGTTCCCCCCTAGATGCCCGTAACCAGGGGTAAATAGAAGATATAGCTTGTCGTTTGAACGCTGAAGGAGGTGCTCCTTCGTGGCTCAGTGGTTAACGCCTCGCACTCACGCCTCAAAGGTCCCACGTTCGATTCCGCACGCCGGAGTCTCCCTCTAAATTATTTTTCTTGCGTTTTCGTATATATAGATATGTATACATATACGGTGAGTGACGGCGATGCTGACGCCGGCGGCAAAATCCACCTAAGAGTGTCTATATAATTGTTATCACAACAAAAAGGAAAATTTGGTGTTTACATCTAATCCTCCACGTGGGCAACACATCTATGTGGCACCATTCTCGCAATATAGTGGTATGGGGTAAAAATAGATGGTCGTTCTGCACTCGTGGCCTCTTTCAGGTATTGCTAGCGTTCGGCCGTTTCGTTATTCTTTAATTAAGGCAGCAATAATGCATGTGCAAAGTGGTTGATGGAGATGGCAGATGAGATAAAATAGACGGATTTTAGTTACTCAAACATATGTTGGGAGACAAGTTCATACGCCCTATGCTGTGCTGTGTTTTCAACGTATGCGCACGTGTACCACTCCTCATCTAGAGCAGATGCCATGTTTCAAGACCGCGTTGACAATAATAGCGTCTACAAAAAAAATGGGAAAGGTGACAACCATGTAGCGATGCTGTTTGTTTTTGATGCATGCTCATGCTTACCAACAAGATAAATTTTCGCTGGTTAGGATTCTCGTAGTCGAGTGGTCCCTTCACAATCCGTATGCTTACAGACGTCGAACCAGTCGCAATGGTGGGCTCCACGGCAAACATTCCAGAAGAATCCATGAGGTTGATATTAAAAACTGAGTTGGAACCCTGTGATTAAGAAAAAAGATATTCGCAATGTATTAAACCAGCAAGCAAAATGCACGCCCTTTGACTCTGCTTTATAGGCCCATAAGAATGAAATTCAAACCAGTAACTATCCAAGTTTAGTGAGCATGTGAGCAAAGAGGAGAGCACAAGGAAGAAAGTACATCCTTATGACGCTATAAAATGAAACGGGCTAGCGAAACTTCAGGAAAAATAAGCGACAGGTCACCTTTGAAGGTGCTGATACCCTTACTTCAAGACCACAACGTACTCGTTAGTATGTGTTGTATAAAAAATGTGCTTTACTAGCGTACAACTTTTTTTAGCTATGAAAGCAAAAGTCTGAGCAGTGACAAAATTTCTAGATGTATTATTCTCCGCCTATACAACTCGGGCTACATTAGTTCCACTTTTCATTGCCGAGTCCTAGAGCAATTTCTTTGCTTTGGTGCAGACAGTGAGAACAATGTCAATGTCTGCAAACGTTGCGAAACATTTTCTGCATTTGATACGACAGTAATTTGCTGCTGAATGTGGTCGCCAACTTGTGGAGCTCCCTGCGATCTGACTCATGAAATACATTTTGCGTTGAAGACTGATCATTCGAACTCAGGCTCACCAAAATGCTTCTTAGCTGGACTCACTTGGACTCACACTCACGAAATTTTTCTTCAACCGGACTCACTCGGACTCAGACTCACCAAAACATGACTCACCCTGACTCACTCAGACTCAGACTAACGGCTTGATTTGAGTCTGAGTGAGTCCAAGTGAGTCAACTCTTGAGTCCGTTAGTCTAAACTGATCTTTTTCGACCGCTATGTCAATGCTTTGTAACACCAATATCTCACGTGATTGGTGCTCTTATTAGCGCCTTTTGATAAGTTTGAAACGTTTTGAAACGAATTATAATCACCCGTAACCAGTATTATCAGGCCATTTTCCCTGAAAGAAATGATAACACAACATATGTGTATCAAGAACTCCATTGGAATAGCTTTCGGGGTGGGTGTTCAAGGCCTTCCAATAAGTATTGAAATGATGTAAAAAATACACTGCTTTGGAGTACGTGTGAATGGACGTGAACACAAACGTGAATCCAAGTAAGGCTGATAATAATGCTGATCATGAGTAGAGGGACCAGGAGTCGGCAGAAGAAAGTGGAATTCACTCCGACTCACCTAAGAAATATATATTGCACTTTGAATTCACTCGGACTCACACTCACAAAACGTTTTGTCAACCAGACTCACTCGGACTCAAACTCACCAAAATTTTACTCTCTCGGGCTCACTCACACTCAGACTCACGGCTCGACCTGAGTCTGACTGAGTCCAGTAAGTCGACTCATGATTGAATTCGCCGACCTATACTAACCAACGCCATACGCGAGAGCCATCACACTACCAATTGTCACAAGAAAAAGTGTACTCCATTTTTTAGATGTGTAAAGCAGTGGACAATTTCACCTGGATTACTCCAACATCTGTAGAGTACGAACTAACCGAATTATTCCGAACACAACACTAAATATGCATTCGATTGATTGATTGATTGATTGATTGATTGATTGATTGATTGATTGATATGTGGGGTTTAACGTCCCAAAACCACTATATGATTATGAGAGACGCCGTAGTGGAGGGCTCCGGAAATTTAGACCACCCGGGGTTCTTTAACGTGCACCCAAATCTGATCACACGGGCCTACAACATTTCCGCCTCCATCGGAAATGCAGCCGCCGCAGCCGGGATTCGAACCCGCGCCCTGCGGGTCAGCAGCCGAGGACCTTAGCCACTAGACCACCGCGGCGGGGCAAGTAAATATACATTCCTACTCAGGTGACTAAAAAGGTGAAAGTGCTTGGTAAAGATATTGAAAAGGTACAGACGTTTTATGTTTGCGTCTATAGAGCACTGGGTATTTCTTCGACAATTTCGATGTGATCACATAAAATACTTTGCTGCACATCTACTGTCTATCGACATCTTCGGATATATATTAATAATGCTTAATGCCTGCCCTTCTTTTGCTTCTACTAGCAGTCGATGTATTGTTGCGCGTTGCTGGGCACTGCCCTGTTAAAAAGACAAGCTGTACTTAAATTGAAATTTTCGAAACTAATGTATTTCGCCAGTAACACGTACCTGCAGATTCGCTAAAGATGGTGAATGAGAATGCACAGTTCTTTTTACGATATATCTCTTAGCGGACATAAACGTGCACAGAAAGGGGCCTAGCGCTCAGCATCGTTTTCTCACCGTGTCCGTGTCCTGGACGAACATGTCAAGGTTCGGCAGTGGGCTCCCGGGAGGAATGTTCTCGCTCACACTGACGCTGTAGCTAGGCCGGCTGAACGTGGGAGCCTCGTCGTTCACATCCTTCACCGTAATGGCCAACGCGGTGGTCGTCGACGATCCCGGTTCGTCCAGTAGCCGGTCTCCTTCCAGCTCCGAAGCCTGCGCATTGACACGCCACGCAGGGAGGCATTGTTCCAGAAAGATCACGCCAAAGTCACAATTTCCGGGCTCTGCGATATTTCCTTTCTTATTACTCGCATAATATTCAGCAAGAACCACGCAATTCGCAGGGCGTCATTGTGTTTACGGTAAGCGCGTCATATATACAATATATATCAACTATTCGAATTAGAAAGCAAGAAAAAAAGTCAGTTGAAGAGCGTGTACGTCATTTACGTCAAACAAGGCATGCTTCGATATCTGATTTGCGCGGTTTTGAACAGGTACTGCATACGGTGTGCAAACGTATAACCTCAGCAATGGTGCAGACCACTTGTGAAGTTTTCTTGTTCTTTCTTTTTCACGACAGTTATCGTTCCCAAAGTATTCCCGAAGCTCAGCTCCGGCTTGAATACCCGAAACATACTGAAGGGACTGAAATCTTTTAGGGCTTTCGCCTTCGTCACTGCTGTTGTTACGATGCTTGTCTAGGATTCACTTACTTTTACTTTGACGGTGACCACGCCGTTCGAGGAGCTCAGTTTCTCTTTGTCCAACAAGTTCGCAGTTGTTATAACTCCCGTATTTTTGTTGATAGTGAAGAAGTTCTCTGGATCTGAAAACAAATAAACAGAAACACTTACAGAACTCTATGGCGTGTCCACCAAAACCCAAATCGAAATTATCGTATCTGCGTGACAAATAAGCGACACAAAAATTCCTGTCTCTTCGGAAGAGGAGAAGAATGAAAAGAAAATAACAATAAGGAAAAGGTTGATAAAATTTGTGGACAGAAAGGTCAACTGTTACCTTGCTGTGAATAGAGGATAAAACGGGAAAAGGAGGCCGAATATGAGAGGAAAAAGGTTGGCAGAGGACATGACAGCACTGGAGCTGTGTCCTATTTTGCACGTTTAGTTCACTTAATTTGCGCTATCAGAGACCTTCGCCAATGTCAATTTGCTTTGCCAGCAGTAGGTTATTTTGGCTTATTTGCTGGTCATGAATAACGAAAGAGGCAAAGGGACTCCTAAGAGCGTTTTTATAGTTATTTATAGTTGGTGCGTTGAAACGATCAGTTCTTTCGACATCTATAGCTCCCAACTACTGGCCATATTGTAATGCAACAGCGTGGGAGTGAACTGAAATATCGGTTCTTTATTTTTCTTTCTTTTACAATCATGAAGGCGGCGTCACTGCCCGAGCTGTAGAGGTTACATAAAATGCATTTTAAGCACTCTTTTGTCTGGGCAACTTGAACAGCCCGAAGGACGAAGACGAAAAACAGAACAAGTGCTGATGTTTATTGTCCTGTTGCTTATGCGCCTTTCTTGTTCTCACTTCGTGCTGTTTAACTTGACACACTTTGAGGCACTTTTCCAGCAGGAAGACGCCATTACACGTGAAATTCCCTACAGGTAGATATTTTAGCATTTAAAGGCACGAAGAAAAAACATATTTGAAAGAGCTTTGTCCTAGGAACACACGATCGTAGAACCACGCCATGATTTAGCCTTGCCAACCGTTTTGGTGGCAGAGTAAAGCATAAATTCCTTTCCAGGCGTGCTTTAGAACAATTCTGATAACAAGTTAAACCGTCTTTCACTAAAGTGAAGCGTGAGTAGCTTGAGAAGCAGCGCATGGTTCGACCTAAAGTGCTGTTCATCACGGGCACCTTGTCCGATGTTAACGCGTCCATGCAAGTGGAGCACACCATGTATCCACTGTAGTTTCCGTAGCTGTTACTCGTCTCGAACTCTTGTTGGAGCACGCCACGCGAGTTCATCGCACCTCTACGGGGAGCGCGTGTGTTCATCGCGCGTCAGCAGGACCTCGTTTCCCGACGCCATCACGGGATTGTTGAAAGAGTGTAAGGAGGAGAAGCCACAGCCTCTTAAACGGCCGCTTACGTAGGCCCGAACGCGCTAGCACGTTCCAGCGCGTTCTGAGTAGGATATTACGCGTTTATCCATCGCGCGTCTGCAGAATCTCGATCCCCGACGCCATTACATGATTGCATGATTGCTGATAGTGTAAGAGGGAGATGCCACAAAATTTTATGCAGCCCCTTATATAGGCCCGTTACAGAGAAATGCGCTAGTGCGTGATCACGTTTTAGCAGTGCTTGGGTCAGCTGTTCCGCATGCGCAGTAAATTAGGTCAAGGCGCACACCGGATATAACTTCGCCATAAGCTCTTTCACATCTAAAATATTTTGCTTTACCTTCCGACATACCTGCAACGGTTAAAGCTAAAAGCGAGGGCTACATATCGGCAATTGATGATGTATCTCGCTCATTTGATAAAATAGCATATTATGGTCGGATCTGTACATTGCTGCGTATTCAGTCGATCTACCGGAACTCATTCGTGCAACAAAAGCTCGCATCTGAGCACGCAATGCCGAATGGGCACGCCGTCATTATACGCACTCTCTTCGTTTCGATGCACCTTGCTTGCCAGAGCAAGCGTTCACAAACGACCCATATGCACAGACGAGCCAGCACTGTCAGGGCCCTTTGTTGGCTACTTATGTCGAAATGAAGGACACATCCTTACTGGAAACGATAGAGTAGCGAATATTCCTGGGGACTCCTCGGTCACCATCAATTGCTTTCACTGTCATCACGTAAGTTCCCTGGAAAAGAAGGAAGTGCACAAATGGGTAACTGCACTGTCATGAAGTGCCTGGCAAAGCTGCTTTAGCAAGAAAATAATTGCTGCTTAATAACTACAGCTTCTCCATTTGCGGCTGGAAACCCAACCCCATCTCTAAAGAACGAGCCCTTAATGTCCTTTTTATACAAAACAAAATCCATACACATAGCTGTATATCTATTCTGTAGAAGAAAATGTTACAATTGTAGCTAGTTTTCGAAGCTTAGATTTGTCTTCACAAAACATGTCAGAGATCCTCAGTTATTTCTCAGTTTACACATGGTCGGTTCTTTTCACTCTATCGCTATGGAGCAAAATAAATGTTTTGCCCAGCTAAATTTCATGACTTACCACGGGGACGTCTTCACTGACGACGGCAGAATGGGATCCGAGGAACACTGGCGGCCGGTTTTGAACATCTGACACTTTTACAACAGCCGTTGTAGTGGCATTAAAAGAACCATCCTGGCGAAAAAGAGCAAAGAAAAATCCCCTGTCTCTACAATATGACTAAGATGAAATATTATACTGCGTTTATAAGGACGAACACAGAAAAAAGGTTAACCAAGAGGTGCAATTTTCGTTGGCTTCAATGTCAAAAAATGAAATTATTGTTTACGTTTAACCGAAGAAGAGAGAAGCTACCTTTAATGGCTAATAACTTGTCGCAGTTTCACATTAGGCGTGCGGTGTTTCATCAATGAGTGGTATGAGGGGTTACCAGTCAGTGCACGAGACAACATTTTGGCCGCACGTGATTAGTCGAGATTCGTACGTCTTCCATTGCTCGAGCCTCAACCAATCATGTGTGGATAAAACATTCACCCGAATTTACAAAGGTTTTCATTCGTAAGCGTTTTGCCATTGGTCAGTCGGCTTCAATAATGATATGTCCAACATAGCGATTGGCTGAAATTTTTTGTTACGAACAATTACATTAGCATTATACTTTTTGTTGTAAAAATTAGGGCTCCGACAAGCAGATGCAAACTTTCTGGCTGTTCGATCAGAAGTTCCACAGACAATGCAGAGTCTCAACCAGACTGCATTCACAGTCGTGTCCCTATGTTCGAAAGCAATAATGGGTTTCCTACATCGCTGAAACTCAAACGGTGCGGCTCACTTTTGGCACGCAAATGGCCTTGAAGGGGCATGCACTCGAAGCTTAACGAACCTCAACGATCGGACCGACAGCCAAGATAGTGCAGCTTCCACAAATTTATACGATGACGTATATTCTAAGCATAGACTACACACGCAAGCGACGGAGTCGAACCTCCTTCGCGGCGAATGTCAACGCGAGACTACTTTCGGAGGAAGAATTTGTTTTGAGCCCCTGTCCCCTTCCAGATGCACTGCATATCGCGCTAAAATTATTACACAGTATTGTCCTTCAGTATGGTCTGGCGCTAACCACTCAGTGTCACCGTTTTTTTTTTGTCACAATACTCTTCAATTCTTCCATCAAATTTTTGGTTCCTCTATTCCGACTAACATTCAGCAGCCCACAAGGCCAGACATTTCGTTGAAATGAATGTGACGTAACTTGGATGTTCGTAGGTTTCTACAATACATGCATGCAGAGCAATGGCATGGTTTCCACTTCTCCTGTAACTCTGTAGGGGGGGGGGGGGGCGATATCATTGTTTAACATTTAATAATTACAGAAGTGCGTATGTTCTACAAGTTTCTGACGCTGTCCACGTAGCCTCTTCCATTTTAACGTGATAGCGTTAAAGAGCTCGTTTCGCAGAAATTCCGGCATCGGTGTCAGTTGGTTGTGAGCAAAAAGTCATCACCTTGTGCGTGACCGAAAAATCAAAATGCCAATAAAATAAATAAGAAAATTTTCCAGGCCCGTGTGAGAGTCGAACTAAGGACGTTTGTGACGCAAGCAGGCGTTCTACCGCACAGTAATGTCTCTGCTTCGAAATACTGTTGAAATAACTTCCTCTGCTTGGAAATGCTGTGAAATAAAACGTTCATGCTTTACAAATACACTCGTCCAGTATGCAGGCTTGACAACACAATATATAATACCGCAGTAATATTCCGTGGTACAAGCGCACATTGCCTTCGGGCGTCAGAACATGTGAATATCGTAACGACTTCGTGGTTTAAAGCCCGGTACCCAATACAAAAGGAACTAACGTCACTGCGCGTATTCCTTTACGAACACGTAATAGGCGCATAGCGATTGCTTAAAAATTTCACGCGCGTGATTGCTCCTGGTGTAAAGCATCCTACCAATTAGGCCTACACAGAATTCATCCATATGCTAAAGCTTCACTGACCCAAGCCACTTTCACCTTTATCAATTACATAGTAGAAATCCACTATTTAAACTTCTCGAGTAACATCATAGGATAAAAATTAAGTGGTTGAAGTACGCACTAGGGACAGAATATGGCTATCGCGTACAACTCTTAAAGGCTAAGCTTACGGATCCCCCAAATTTTCTTTCCCCTTTTTTCTGAGACGGCAGAAAATTGTTTCTACGTCTGTCCGTTTCTACTTTCTCCTAACGCCTTCTATGTCAGCCTGCCAAGTCATGACTTTTGCCGTTTCAAAAAAAAAAAAAAAGTACGCCGACCACCACCGCCGCAGAATGCCGAATTTCTGCTCCTGCAGCGGCATATACAATCAAGAGGTGGACCTGGCGGACACATGAACCACTGGCAGCATTGGCAGTGTGGCTCGAAGCGTCACGAACACTAAGCGAAGGTGGTTGTCTCTGTATACGTGTATCGTAAGAATGCGACGCTGTGGGCATTGCGAAGAAGTTATCCTTGAGAACGTGGCCACGTCTGTCGCGAGAACCGGCGGTTGTCGGAGTAAACACCTTTGCTGCTTGTGACGCGCCGTCTAAACCGAGCGTTCATCCGGGAACAGGTACATAGTGAGCTTGACTCATTTGTAGGAGGATATATTTTTGTTCTTGCATGAGCACGGCCACGTTACGAGGTGTTAAAGCTAGCCAGTAATACTTGCGAACATTTTGTGAATGACTGAAGCTAGTCTTGCTGACATTAGTTTGAAGTTTTCAGTGTGCACATGATATGCATGACGGCAAGCCTGACTAACTTCGTCATCACAGACCAGGAGTAGAGCGCCTTTGTGTACGTGTGGCATCTCTTAGTAATTTCCTTACTATTGGAATTTTTTTATTTCTTTACAGGTACATCAGGCCCTTCTCGGGCCCATGCAGGAGTGAATACAAATAATATAAACAGAGAATAAATACAAATGCACAGTATATAATGCACAGTTAAAAAAAATAATACATAGCAAATTAACAAGTCGAGAAACACAGCACTCAGCAGTATAGGCACCCTACACATTCGCGCACACGCACACACACACACACACACACACACACATATATATATATATATATATATATATATATATATATATATATATATATATATATATATATATATATATATATATATATATATATATATATATATATATATATAAGGGAAAGAAGTGTATACCTAAGGGCTCGTTTTTCCGTGTTTTAACACAATATTAATGAGATATAACAGACAGCAGTAATGCCAAGGAATGTACAGGGGAAGTTATTAAAATCAATGGAATGTAAATAAGAAGAAAGAAAAGTGGATGAAAAATTACCAACTGTGAGCAGGAATCGAACCTACGACCTTCGAATTACGCGTTCGATGCTATATATATATATATATCAAAAAAGTAATACTCACAATATACTCTGTAAATGAAGCCAACGACCCAGAGTTTACAACGTCCTCGGACAAGTTATTCCAATAAGTAATCGCGTCAAAAAATAAAGCAAACTTGTGGACATTATTGTGGCTAACTGGGTGCAAAAACGTTTGCTGTGATTCATTCTGGCTGAAAGTTTTCAAGGATGTTGAAAGTTACGGTCCCATGATAATTTAAAGTCCCCATGATGAAGCCTAATCTTGATACTATCCTGCGCTGCTCAAGTTTTTGTAGGCTTGCCTTATTACGTAATTAAGTTACACTGGAATGCCGGGAGTACGCGGAATATATGAAACGCAAAGCTAAATTCTGAACTCGTTCAATTTTTTTAATCAAGTACTGCTGTCAAAATACTACCCCATGAAAGAAAACGATGAAAGTTTCATGAAACGAATGAGACACTTAGAGCGCTACAAAAACGGTGTCGAACGAATAGGCGTAAGAGCATACTGCGCCTACACTATAGGCACGTACTAATACTTTTTGGCTCTTATACCGCAGATATGCGGTTTCACTTGGATACGAACACGAAAATGAACGCTTCTACAAGAGGACACACATGAGTGACTCACGTCTGCAACAAGGTTAACTTCGTACACGGGACGAGAAGCGTGATCCAAGGGCTTTCGTAGCACTAACGATGCGTCCAGTTCTTGGGAACTGGCCCTGGTGACCACCACGGCGAACGTGTTGCAAGCTTCAGGCACCTAAAAACACATCACGCTGTAAGAGCATCATCTCAAGAACTAACGTCATAAGAAAGACGTTTCTCAGTTGCTTTTTGTTTGTTTGTTAGTTTTTAAGGCTTCTTTACGGTGCGTGGTACCACAGAACAACTGAATCGAGTTGGGTAATAACAAATTCAACCCAACCCTACGACACAGAACTACAAATAATTGTTTTATACAGTATGGTGGCTGCATAAATATACGTTTGAATCAAAAGTCACTGCCGGGCCAATTAAGTAGTGTTCCATTGATTTTTACATATAGTTCAGCCCACAGCGTCGATAGTGACCGATTATTAAAAAGCAAAACAAAAAAACCCCAGAAGTTTGAAAGGGAAAGATTTTTCAATACTACACATGAATTTCAGCATGTTATCACTTTCGCTTATTTCTGGTCCTCTACGAGAGAGAAAAAAAAAAGAAACACTTTTGAGGTCGTCCTAACAATTTGTATTGGAGACAGGAAAGTTAATTAAACACATTTACTCACATTGTCGTTGGGGAAGCATTGAACCTGAAGCACGTTCCCTGCAGTGTCTAAGTCGGTTACTTTGATATTATTCAGCACCGTGTGTCCTACTGGTGTGTCCTATGCAATAGACAAAAACAAAGTTTTTTTAAAAGCTCACTTGCTGTTTTAAGCAGACAGCAACGTTACAGAATGAGGATGTTACCTAGGGGCTATTCTATGTTTTTGTTGTAGTAAACGCAAACAAATCCTCTGCCCCGTTAATGCTCTGTTTCACGTGACCGACACGCATCATAAATATATTAAAATGTTCGGATGATCTCCCTTTTACATTGCAGTAGTATAGGCGACAAGCAAGTATTACCTGCTCCGACAGGGTGGTGGAGTGAACAATGGGCAGATGGTTCGCTAAAAAAGTTTGTGCAACTTTTATTTTAATCTTTTAGCAGCCTAACTGTTCAGACAAAGCCATAAGCATAGCATATTGAAGCTTGCGTAAGCATTTTATGATTACGGGCGTAACTCTCGTAAGCGAACACTATGCCATGAGGTGACGTGTTCCAACCACTGCTCATCTTATGACCTGCTTCAGCAGAGGCCAATGCGTTATAGAACGAAGTGGTGAATTTGTTCAGTTTGTGCGTATTTTACCTTTTGTTTACACATGTACAAGCCGCATATCACTATTGTTTAAGAAAATGAAGCGTGTCTAAAAAAATAGGACCAACCTCGGCGATTCTGACATCGTACGGAATGTTTTCGAATGTCGGGGCGTTATCGTTGACGTCCAGAACAATGACGCTGACTGGAACCTTGACCTGAACATTGAAAGCAAAGAAAAAAACGAAAATAGTAGATTGCGTCATAATACTACATGAGCATCTAAAAGTCAGACAAATTAAACTTGGAAGTACTCACAATGTTATTTTGGTCATGTCCTCCGACGATATCCTCAAGGGTCACAGAGAACTTCAATGTATCCGTTACCTGAAAATAAAGCATAGTGACAATGTACTTCAAGGGAATTTCTTTATATTCAAGCAATTTTCTTTAAATTCGTTAACGTCAGCTCCTCCCCTTAGGCTTATGATAATGTATTAAGATTGCTGTTAGATGTAAACTATATATAGTGTACAAACGATTGCAAAATAAAATATTTACGTTTTTTTCTTTGCTGATGTGTTCGAATGTGTTCCACCAGTTCGAATGTGTTCCACGAAAGCTTTTCTTTCATTAAATATTCTGCCAGATAATGAAGAAAGAAGCGCTGATTGTTTTTCTCGCTAACATTCATTCTTGGATTTTTTAGAGTGCGTAATCAGCACGTTTGCGATAAATGTTTCTCAACAACAATTTATTGAAAACGCACACCACTGTAATTTTCTTTACATACCGTGAGAAGTATTCGCTTTTAGAGTGAGCCAAACTTACTCAAGTTCTACATGACCCTTCTATTTTTCTTAAACAGTGTTGGTGGCACCATTAAAATACACATATTACCTGTTGTATTTATTATGACGTTCTTTAAGGCCTTCCAAAACATTACATCAATCTATTTGTGGTTTCTGTGAACGTTGTACATATAAACAATGCGTAAAAACGGGTAAGACCACGTTTTATGAGCTTTGGGCTTTCAGTTGGAATTTCCCGCGCAAATGTTAAAGCTATACTGTACCTCTCTATCGATGTTGTTTATCACAGTGACGTCACCGGTGGCCCGGTCAACTGAAAGAAGGTCAGTTCCCTCGAGTCCGTAGTAAACTGGCGAATTTTCGGGATCCGAACCTTCTAGGCGAAATACAGATGTGCCTAAGGAAAACATATTTCAAATAAACTAATTATAATTGCTCTCATCTTTCCAAACTTGTTCACGCGTAATAGACACAGGAAAATTTGAAGTTTATGCTTTCCGAGTCATGCCTGACCGAAGGTAATCATCTATGGACTTACCAATTGGCGTGTTCTCGGGTATCACAGCAAGGTCAATAGTTTTTGTAAACTTTGGTGGTGAGTTAGCACTTGATACTGCAAAAAAAAATTAGGCAAATAATTAAGAAGCAATAAGTTCACAGCTTGTAGTTGTAGTATTCCAGTAACCCGTCAAAATATAGTCAATTTTCAGTCAATTTTAAATATATAAACTAACCAACCCAAGCCTGCACGTGCCGACGGGGGCGGCATATCAACATCTCAGAAACAGGATACTTACGATGCGTGATTGCAGAGAGGAGCACAAAGATGAGCACCATTTTCAGTCCTGGAAACAAACAAGCAAAAACAATATATTAAGAGTAAACGGGTGTATACAGGTATAATGGCCGGTGGGTGCTTTTCAAGCTGCTGTTGCAGCTTTCTTTCCTTCCCTAACCTGTTGGAAATAATGACAAATTGAATCAATATATGGCAAATAAACGCAGCATAAGAGCTCAGCTGACGTATTGCACGAGCAGGTAATGCCTTGGGTAAAGTGCCTTCATACCATAAGAGACTTCTTGTTTGTGTAGATTATAGTTGGGTGCCACATTTACGAACGCATGCGTGCAGCTTAGGAAAGGCTGTCAATGCAGCATGTGACCACTGCGGCATCGTGAAACGATTCAACATGTTATGTGCGGCGGCCCACAGTACTTTCGATAGAGACAGTTACTGTGCAACGCACTCAATAAATTGGATGACCAAACGCTTTTGGAAGAATTCTGCATCATCGACCAGACCTAACGTCCCAGTATATAGAAGGCTGTGCAAGTGCTACTGCGTTCAACTGGTCTCTTGTAACAACTATAATCGGAACGTCCTGCGTGTGTGCGCACGCGTTTTTTTTTTAATTCTCTGTTTTTCCTCTTACCGACCACTACTTCACCAACCCTTCACAGGGTAGCAAACCAGCTACTAGTACCAGGCTAACCTCCCTGTATTTCCTTTTCCCCTATTTCTCTCTCTCTCTCTCTTGTTTCTCTTTTTCTAGTGCACGCCTAAGGCAGTGTGCGGTTGGCAATGCTCACACAGGGTATATGAAAACTGCCTGAGTTAGTACGGCAGTTAGCTGAAAACCCTTAAATCAGCTTTATAATCATGTATTCATAATTCAAAGTGAGTAAGATTGAACAGCTTACTTGTCACTTTTATAGTAGCCCTTAGAAAGTGTGCAAAAATAAGGCAATTCTGTTTACCTACAAAGGCTATGGCAGATACTTATTTGTCTGTGATTAGCTTGAGTACTCAGTCAACATGGACAACCTCTAATCATAACATTATAATCTCCAAGTCTTCAAGTGCTATTCTTCTTAGTATTATTATCACTAAGGAAAAAAGAGATTTTGATTCCTTCAGGCAGCACAATACATCAAGGCAGGTCGGATGAAAAAAAAAACAACTCAAGACTACCGCATTTATCCCGAACGTTGAATTCACGCCTATCATTGCTCTTTTTTTCTTTTTTTTCACCCGATAGCATCATTTAAATAAACTAACTCCCACACCCAAGCTTAAATTGACGCAGGGGCGTCAGGAGAATCAATTTTATTGTCCGTGTCTTATATTTTGAAGCAGGTTGCATTTAGTCTCTTCATTTCTGTGGGTCCTTACGCTTTGTGTTTGTGACTTTTTTTAAAAATTTTTTTATACTTGTTGCAAAGTTTGCTTTCTGATTCATCTCTGTACAATTATCCACAATAATAAGAATAATATTTTAGGTTTTACGTGCCAAATGCTCAGTGTGATTATGAGGCACACCGTAATGGAGGGCTCTGAGAATTTTGGCGATCCACTGTTCTTTAACGTCTACTGACATGATCAAAATGTGACAGCGGCAGCGGGAATCGAACTCACGACTTTTGGGTTAACATCCGAGCACTCTAACCATGCACTGTACCCCCGTGCGGGCATTCGGTGTATTTGTCACATTGGACTGACAACGTGCGTTGGCCTTGTACTTGTTCATTTATCTTCACCACTGCTGTATCGACTGTAAAAAAGCTGCAGCCTACAATGAATGAATGAATGAATGAATGAATGAATGAATGAATGAATGAATGAATGAATGAATGAATGAATGAATGAATGAATGGCATGCAGAAGGGTCACTTGGAGATAGTTTTTCCACCCTTGCTAAAAGTACATCTACACCATTGTTCGATGGCAAGAAACAAGTACACTACATTTGCAAATTGGTGCTCTTTGACAACGTTAGTTTAGTACCAGCATACTTAGCTCTTACATGCATCATCGATCAGTGTGGGTGCAAACTTCATTAACGCCAGCCGTGCGCTTGCAGTCAGGGGATGAACAATTACGTCGGAAAGGTATACAATGTCGTGTTTTTTTTTTTACAGTGACGTTTTGTATCGTGCAAATAATGCATTTATAAGTTGTTAAAAGTGTCTGTTACTAACGTTATAATTTTTTTCTAAAGGGTATATTTTCTCAGAAATGGTTGTCTTGTTTAGCATCGGTTCAGAAGAAACTCATGTATGCTTTCAGAACACTAAGAAAAATCACCTACGAACACTATAACTTAACAAAATATCCGTCATAAATCGGCCAGTTTTTTTATTGTTAAATGCACCATTCTCAAAATACTTTATCACCTATGTATCTATTTATTAATTAACGCGAGAGTACTAAACAGGTCGTTTCGCATAAATTCCAGTGTTTGGTAGTGAGCGAAAATTCGAGACAGATCCAGATAAAAAAAATTCCGTTCAAGTGGAAACAGAACTTCCATTCTTTGCGTGACAAACAGATGTTTTACCACAGGGCCACGACTGTGCTTGAAACTGTTAAAAAAACATATATAATGTCATGAAATGTTAGGAGGTGCCTCCACGCATGTAAGATTGCGTGGCGGAAACGTAGAATTGCACGTGCATTTGAACATGTGAGTGGCGGAACGATTTGCTGGTCTAAAATCCCACAAGGTTAACAAGGATAAGGCACAGCATAAGCGACTATCACATATTTTGTGCGCACTCTGGAAGCATTCTGAAAGGCAATACGGTTTATTTTTAACAAGTATGGGCCACATGAATCACCTACGGGGTTAATGGAAATTGCTGGTATAGATACTCTACAGCGCCGAGCCAGAATAGCTAGACTGAAATTTATGTACTTAATAGTTCATAACAAAGTAAATATTGATGGCACAAACTTCATAACAAGTTTACAAACACGCCCTACCAGACATAACCATACCCAGATGCTCACTGAATACACTTTCCATACCGACTGTTTCAAAAATTCATTTTTTCCAATGACCATAAGAGAATGGAATAACCTTCCCTTACATATCATAGAAAGCGCATCACTAACACAGTTCTTAACTGCACTTGAAAGCGTACCTTGAACCCTGACAGACAGTTTTTTCTTTGATGTATGAAACTACACCTGTCACAGTTCTTCATCCATTGTCTCTCTTACTTTTTTTTTCAAATACCAGAAACCCCACAGTATGCATTTGTCGCCTCACTCTAAAGCACCACTGTGTAAAAATACTTACACCATAGTCTCACAATGCTTTTTCTTTTTCTGCTTTTCTTTTTCCTTCCCTTGCCTACGGTTTTTTTATGCGAGCGTGTTTTCTTTATATTATTGTGTCACTAATCGCGCTTGTGTTGCACTTTTTTTATAATTAGTTGGTGTTTCCATTGTGTCACAATTTGTGTTATGTTGTATTCAACTATTGTATATGCCCTCCTGCTATGATCCCTTTGGGTTTGGCAGTATTTACAAATAAATAAACAAATACAAATATATATTTGGGTGATGTGAGGAAAATAAACGAGTTGAATGTATGGCGCCCTATCCTATCTGCTTATTTTTTTTTCTTGCTAGTATAAGTTGCACCACAAACGTTTTATTAAGTTACACCCTAGCGCTGCATAAGAAGAACGTTCGCCGCTGTGGTGCAGTGGTTGTTGTGCTCGACTGCTGGACCGAAGGTCATGGGTTCGATCCGTTGGCGGCGCTCGTATTTCGTTGGAAGTGAAATGCTAAACGCCCGTGTCAGTGCAATGTCAGTGCACGCTAAATAACACCTGATGTTCAAACTTTTCGGAGCCCTCCACTGTAGCGTTCGTCTTAATATCGTGGTTTTGGGACGTGTATAGAATTAGGATGTTGCAGGCTCGTAGTGGGGGGGGGGGGGGAGATAGAGGGGGGGCTAGGTTTTTAGCTTAGAAATCCGGATGAAAGAAGGTGTTTTACCGATAAAAATAATTAAAATATGTGTTTTAAAGGCCTTCATTACGTGCCCTCCCCCCCCCCCTTAAAAAAAACGTTCCTGTCTACGGGCTTCGGATATTCTAAGTTGCTGACACCCGCATAGTTAAATAAATTATACATAAGAAAAAAAAAGATACTCTTGTTAAGTTACATACGCAGTTGCTATTATTGACCTGGACTTTTGTTTATCATGACACTAGTTATCATAAGTGGTGGGCACCAGACATTTGTCTAATGAGAAAACTGCACTATACGAGTGACTGTTTTGTTGGTACGGGCTCTTTTGCAAACAGTGGGCTTGGCGAATTGAACTTCGAATCACATTTGACCGCCCTTTTTTTCCTTCGGAATTGAGATTGCCGTGCTGGCGTTCTTCCTTCTAGTTTCTACCGGTGCGTCTTTGAACTTCGGGCTTAACTGCTTTGAGCCAGTTATGACACGCCACAAGAAGTTCGCTATGCTAGCCGATGAATTAGTGGTATACGCAAAGGTAAACTTACTTCATTGAAATGTTAAACCTCTTGATTGAGTTGCCACTGGGCTTCTGCACGTTCTTACATGGATAAATAATTTGCCTTTCATCCCGTTCATGTATTTTTTGTTCACTCATGAGGTTTATACCGTGGTTCTCCTACTAATACTCACCTTAATTTTGGAGTGACGATATGCTAAATGCCCTCCAAGAAAAGAAGGAAGGAAAGTAGGAAGGAAGGAATGGAAATGCAGGGATGTTTAAAATTCACTTCTTACCCGGTCAGACTACATTCCAGTAGGTAAGATTATTATTAACGCTACATAAGTATTGTAAGAAGCCATCCTCTCAATATTGCCTTACCCCTATCAATAGAAAAGAATTTTTCGCGATTCGAAAGCTGATATGATAACACCTCGTCAATAGGTGCACGCTATTCACGTCTAGTATCCGCGCAACCGTGCTATAAAATACATGTAGCTAATTTACTAGCGAACAAACCAGAACGCATTACTCAAGTCCTGTATGTGCGCAAAATGCCTAGGGCTATGTAATCATTCGTAAGA